CCTGCACCCACTAGCTGGGGCCTGGTATGCCTTGGAAGATCCTAAGTTGTCTTTCCCAGCAGGCCTTTCACACTCTGGCAGTGAGTCAGGTCCAGGAAGGCTGGATCAGGAGGGGCAGGTGCCTGACTGTGTGGTTGTTGGATCCATGTAGATCTCACCCTTGCTTGGTGCCCAGCAACCTGAGGAAGTGGCCCAGCCCATATTTTCAGTATGGGAATAGGGAACATGGGTAACAGGACAAACCAGCAGGTGTACCTGCCCTGCAAGGAGGGCAAGCAGCAGTGAGGTCAAAGGGCAGGCAGCCCTGGCAGCCCCCTGACCCCCACTCAGGGAGAGGCACCTGCTGATTGAGGCCAGGATGTGGTGGGGTGTCCCCGGAAATCCTGCCAGGCTCTCAGTGGAGCTCTGCACTAAGCCCCTGTGACTGCTCTTATTTTCTCTGAAACAAACTGTCAGACCCAAGGCAGCACTGAGAAAGTCTCAAGCTGACTGTGGGATCACAGGGCAGTCATGGAGAGGTGGGTAGGTGAGGCAGGATGGTCTAGAGAGAATGAGGGACAAGTCCGGCTGACACAAAGAGTTAATTAATGACATCTGCCATTGGTAAATGTTTTGCTGTCATTTATCAAACACACCACTGCTTTAAATATGCATAGTAATTTAATTACTGAAACAACTCTGCGCAGCATACATTTGTATCTCAAATTAGTAGAGATGAACAGAGAGGTTCAGAGAACTGAAAGAAGTAGCCAGAGGACATATTGCCAGTAAATGGGGAGCTAAGACCTGGACTAACACTAACCCCACTCTGCAGACCCTAACGGTGGCTCCCCATCTTCTCCAAACTTGAAGCATGACAACAGTTCATGCACATAGGGCAAATGTGGAGGTTCCAGAGAAGAGTAGAGCTGAAACTCACATGTCCACCTACAGTAACACTCACTACCCCGAGAGCCCTTGGGAACTCCTGGGTAAGTTTCACTGACTGCCCCAGTTGATGGCAGCAGACCTTCACTGGCTTCTCTCCTGTCCCTTCTGCTTTCCACAGTGGATGACCAAGCTCGGGGTTCCAATCATGGTCATGTGACATTCAACAGGCCCCTTAACTTCCTTCTTGCTCGCACAAATTGTTTTCCCCAAAGTTTACAGATGCCAAAGTTTGTTTAGGTGACTTTTTAAATATTTATTTTATATTTATCTTATACATATGAATGTTTTTCCTGCATGTATGTATGCATACCATGTGTATGCCTGGTACCCATGGAGACCAGAAGAGGGCATCTGATCTTCTGGAATTGGAGTTACAGAGGGTTGTGAGCCAACTTATGGGGTATTAGGAATCCAACCCAGGTCCATTGTAAGAACGGCAAGTGCGCTTCGCCACCAAGCCAATTCTCCAGCCCCATTCTTGGGGTGACTTTTAAGAGTCCCTTTCCTATTGTCTTCCAAGACTAGGAGAAAGGGCAGGAGGCCTGGTCAGTGCTACTGCTGGGTGGGAGGGGATGTAGAGACAATGTGGGTTTGGGATCCAGACAGCCCTGCTTTGACCCCTGCTGTTACCTCTGGCTAGTCCAGCTAGTTCAGAGCATTTGGCTAGTTTGAACTGGGCAAGTAGTTAGGTACAATGGCTGCACCATACTCAGACAGGTGTAGCACAGGGCACGGTGGTCATTCCAAATGTCATTTGAGGTTAGGGGTGACATAAGGTTTCTCCCCAGTGGCCTCTGGCCCCCATGCCTTAGTTGGTCCCAGGAGAGGGCTCACAGCTGCCCCACATAGAGGAGATAGCTCACCCTGAAGGGAAGGCAGCCTCTTAGGTTTCACACTTATACGGTGACCAAGCTTGGCTCTGTGTGCCCTGAGGGTGGATCCCTGTTTTGCCCATGGTTGAAGTTCCTCAAGTTCTCTCCCTTTGGAGTCCTGAAAAGGGCACAGACAATCATCCTTCCCACAGCCGGGCATGGGCAGTAAACGTGCCAAGCAGCAAGGAGCACAGATACTGTCATGGGATGCCACCTTGGAGCAGAAGGCCGGGGACAGGTGGACCCTCTACACAGATGCAGACCCACAGTGGAAGGGCCCAGCTCTGGGCAGGCGGAAACCCCACCAAGAAGAGCTGCTGGAGGTATAGCCACTGTCCTGGTGGCAGCTTCCACAGGCCTGTGACATTTCTTCCCCCGGTGCCACTCAAAGTGTGGTCAGTCACCCACTGCTTAGTGTGCTCCAGAGGACAGGCAGCGGCATGAACCTGGCAAAGGACCCTGGGCAAGGGGGCCCATGACCACCCCCCCAAAGAATAAAAGACGAGAGTCTGTTCCCAGGGATGCCAGTGAGAAGGTTGGGCCTGGCATACACTATCTACCTTCCTATGATCCCAGAGAATCTAAGGATAGTGTTTGTGTTCTCTCCAATGGGACTGTAAAAATTACGACTCTTTTCTCTTATTAATAATCTTCAAGGAGCCAAGAGCCTTGATTGCTGGAATGAAGTGGGGTTAAAGGCTCACTCTCTGGAGAACAGCTCTTCCACAGCTCTCATTTTTTTCAGAAGAGGAAACTGAGGCTCAAGGCCACACAAAGAAAACAGCATTGGCCTCAAACTGGAGGGAGAATAAAGTGACAAGCCACTGTGCTCCTTCAACTTGGACCCCAAGACATCACCACAGAGACAGGGAGAGGGAAGCCAAGCATGGCAGATCCAGTGTTAATTAACTCAGCTCTCTTCTGCCCTTTTCTTATTGTTCCTGGAAGCAATTAAGTTTCTTGCACCCTCTCTCCACCTCCAGCCACTGCAGAAAACTGTCACAGATTAAATCAAATTGCTCAGCCATTTCCTTGGGGAGACCCTGGCTCTTCTTCCAGGCATTGTCACTTTTCTCAAGTAAAAGCCTTTAAGTGGTAAGTTAACTCCTTCCTGGAGGCTCTATGAGACTGAACAAGACTAAGGTGCCTGCCCGCTGAGATGAGGGACTGCTGATGGGTCAAGGGCCTCTGGAGCCGCTTTCTCTAGAAGGGAAGGCAGGAGAGGAGGCAGGGCATGTCAGAACCAGAGAGGTAAGGTCAGAACAGAAGGACCAGGCACAGGGAGGGCCAGCTTACCCTGTACCCACCTCGGCTCAAGGCCTAGGGTTTGCCTCTCTTGTGTGGGCCTCAGTTTCCCATATGAAAAAAAAACGCAAGATTCCTACCTTCCTCTCCCTCTCCCTCCCTCCCTTTGTCCTTCCCTCCTTCCCTCCCTTCTCCTCTCTCCGTTCTTCCTTCCCTCCCTAGATTCTAGTGTTTGAGGAACACATGTTCCTCAAACAGTCCACAAACACTTGAGAATAATTGGGAGGGACTGGGAAAAATTTGAATGATAGCTCGTGTACCATGACTGATCAGCGGGTCCTTCCTGTCTGAGGTCCCTGCCTCAGGGCCTAGTGTGGGATAGAAGTCCCAGAAGCATCCACTGCACTAGGGGGAAAATGGGCTTAGTTATTACTATTCAATGTTTAAAACCATTTTCTAGAGTATAGTGATAGATGCTATGTTCATGTAAATGTTTAGAACACAAAAACTCTTCAAATAAAAACACTCCTTTTAGTTTTCCTTATTTAATAGATGAAGGATTCTGCCTCCACCCATCCCTCCTCCAAAATCTGGACATAGTGTAGACCTCCCTCTACCTCCCCTCGGAAGCCTTGTTCAGAGAACATAGCTCTTTCTAGAACCTGTGCAAATAGACTCTAACATACCACAACTCAACTTGTGAATTTTCAGCTTACTAGTGGCTCAGAAGTCATATGTACTCAGTTGAAGCTGTACTTTGAATTTTCAGTTCTGATTTTTCCCCCAGGTTCACGATCTGTGGCCCCATCTTCTCCGTAATGATGGGCAGTGGGAGGCAGCCACAGTCCCCATCAGCCACCCAGACACAAGGGGAAATACTCCATACTCTACAGGGTGCTGCGTCTGAGCTGTGATGGTCTAGCATGGGTTTCAGCTTGTGATATTCTTAGAGTGCTATAGGCTTGTGAGAACATGGCCCCATGGAAGACAGGAACATGGCTGCACACACAGGGCATAGAGATGTGATTCAGGCCGGATATAGGGAGTGTAATGGACACGAGTCAGACCATGCACTCATACTTCGTCTGCTTTACCTCACTTAGTTTTGTGATACTACCCAAAGCTGTCCCATGATTCCCCAAAGCAGGCAGGAAAAGGTTAAAAGCTTGCAAGAGGTCATAAGCAAACACAACCAGCATCGCCTCACAGCCTGCCTGGGCTTCAGAAGGAGAGCCCATCACCAGGCAAATGAGGCAGTGCATCAAGGGTGCAAATCCCTGTTGCCCTTTTATTCACATGTGACTTGGAATCAGCCTCTTAAACTTTCTGAGTCTCAGTTTCCTTCGCTGAGAACTAGGCTTTAAGGATGCAGGGGCTTTGTCAAGGCCACGGTGGCGGTAGCATGTTTGGCAGCACAGAAATTGTGCTCCGACTAAGGCTTGCTGCCATGAAGCTGTCTCTTGCAGCCCTTTGTGAGTGTAGGTGGAGAAATTTAAAGACAAGAGAGAGCAGAATCAGAAAGTCCCCAACTTGGCCTGCCCTTTCAGGTTGAAAAGCCTCTCAAATCATACATGTGTTGTGTCCTGAATTCTTGGGTCATGGGAGCAGATGGCTAGAGTCTGTGAGCGCCTCTGGGGCCACCTGAAACACCACTCAACTTCTCCAGCAGCCCTGCTCTGCTCAACCACAGCACAGAAGAATGGAAACTTCTGCCACCAACAGCACTTACTAGCAACTTCCCTCTGTGCGGTTTTCTCTGTCATTCCCTTGATAAAAGAACTTGAGCTGAGCCTCTGTAACCAACACTCACGAATCACATCTTGACATAAAAACAGCCACCCTTCAAGACGCAAGCTGCCTGGGAAATGATGTACCATGCGCTCTAAACTGGGTCACTCTTCACTTGGGGAGCTCGGGGGTGCACTCACTCTGCCTGTGCCTCTTGTACTGCAGGTTTCCAGTACCTTCCACAGTCCCAGGAGAAAGAGAGATGGGGAACAGCATGAAATCCACCCCTCCACCACCCGAGAGGCCGCTGCCAAACACAGATGGTAAGTCTGACTTTTCTGGTGAAGTGCTTAGTTCCATCCTGCAGGATCCCACAGGAAAGCCTGGGCAGCAGTGGACAGAGATGATGGTTGAAACTGGGCAGTGGGTACTAGTGTTTCATTATACTGACCCTTCATTTTGTGGTTCGAATATTCCATAAAGAGAAGCTGGAAGGGTTGGGTACTTGGCGATGCAAAACTGTTGGAATTTTGAGGTGAAGCTCTGAGGTCAGTTGGCTTGATCCTTTTATTTTATGGTAGGGGAAACTGAAGCTCATAAAGGGAATGCAATTCATGTCATTAGCTATTCACAGAGTCATATTCCCAACCCAAGGTCATCTGATTCTGAAAGCTAGGCTTTTGGTCATCATGCTGATCATCCCATGAAAAGTCCTACTAATCACATGGTCAACCCTGTGGGAGTGTGATCAGGGCTACTTTACTAAGCTGGACACTCTCTAGGACATCCTGCTGAGGATGAAGGAATCCCGTGTTCAGCATAGGCTGTCAAGAGGCCAAACACTCTGGGAGAGATGCTCAGGCTGAAGGTTTATCAGGGATGGCCTAGCTTAGCTGTGTGGCAAGAAGCTGGGTTGGACCAGACTCCTAGAGCTACCGAGTCCTTCAGCAGCTGGCCGGATGATAGAAGGGACATCAGCAAGCAGAAGGCAAGGCTGAACGCTGAATGGACAGTGCTCTGGGGTTAGCTGTACGTGTCCTGTCTAACACCCTCACCTTTGCTTCTGGAATCTATAGTCAGGGCAGTGGGAAGTGATGTGTATAGGCCCCCTAGGGAGGTAGCCAACAGCAGCCACAGGGTGAGTCTAGGGGGACTGAACAACACTGCTGCCTCCCACTTTATATCACCACATCCAAGACCTTGTGCCCATCTCCTAGAAGAGATGACAAGTGTCTGGCTCCCTCTGAACCCTGTGGCACTAGACTGGGCAGAGTTCATGAAGCCCAAATGGCTGTCCTGTCTGCTGACCCAGGGCTCCACACGAGAGAGTTGTGGCTACTATTACTTCCATAGCACCTGGAAATAGCACCCACTTCCTGCAAAATAGAGCTACGCAAGCTGATGGCCCTTTAGATGCCAACTGTGAATACAGTGAGTGCCTGCTCCTCCACCCTTCCAAGCTGGATGCAGGGCACTCCAGTTTTCTATCCCAGTAACTCCCCTCCCAAAGGGGAGAATGAAAAGAATGTTCCCAGGCCTGAGAGCACAAGGTAGAACAGAGTGTGTGTCCTCTGGGATACCCTATGCACAGCTTACAATGGGCTGCACTTTGCACAGCTGCCCTGATTGGCTCCTTCCCTCCCTCCCCAGACCTACTCTTTCCTAACCAATCTCTGGTTGAAAACACATCAGAGAACAAGCACCACAATGCCTGGAATTCAGAACAGCTCAGGGCTGGCCCCATACCCATCCTAGGCTACCAGTAACCTCTCGGCCCAGGGCAGAAGGCTTACATGCTTGAACAAGTCTCGTGAAAACATCGGCCTCTAAGGATGTTCCCATTTGCTTTTATTTTTTTTTAATGCAAATTGTCATGAAGTAACTTTTTCTTTTTCCATTGTGTGGGCAGGAGGTCACCTCTAAGGAAGAGGTAGAGGGGTCTCCCCTACGCCTCCTGCTTAGAATTCCCCAGAGTCTGTACCAGGGTATGATCCAGGCAGCCACATCAAGTGCTAGTGGGCTGCTTTTTCACCCCACTCTGAAAAGTTTCCTCTGTTGTCAGACCTGACTTGATTTCCTCTTCCTTCACACACCTATTTGAGTAAGGGTGGAGAAGGTGGTGTGGTTACTGCTGTTCTAATTAGCTTCTATCTGGGCAACGCTGTTCACGGATGGAGCTCCTACACAGCCATACCCATCTGGACATCTTCTCTGCTCCCAGCAGGCAGTGCCTGGATTGCTGTTGCTTCCTCTGATAGCCTAAATGGCAAAGAGTGCAGAGCAGCAAAGCCCTAGACCCTGTCCAGGGAGCAGCAACCTGGGATCTCAAGACAAACGAATTCTCTGAGCCTTTGAGAGCTCCTCCTTCCCCTAAGCCAGGGCTGTGAAGGCCTGGGCATATGACTTTGACCATCTGTTTTCTTCTAAACTAAATTTCCAGAATATTCTCCAATATTTTAGTCCCTAGTAAATAGTACCATAGAGAGGCAGTCAGAGTTGATGGGAAGAGTGTGCATTTCAGAGGCAAATGCCCCCTTCTTGCCCACTCCCCAACCCCAAGGCCCTGGTCATGTCCTTTGGAAGCTGTGTGACCTTGGAGAAGTCCCTCAGCTTTCCCCAGGGACTCAGCCATGATGTCTTACCACCACAGTGGAACACAGAGCAGTAAGCTGGCAGTGACAGTAAAAGACTTAAAGCTCCACTTGGGGCCAGCTGCCTTTCCAGATTGTGCCTACATGGCTGTGACACAAATGTGAGCCTCCCTCAAGTGTGAGCATCACACAAGTGTGAGCCTCATCAGGTGTGAGCCTCCCTCAAATTTGAGCATCCTTCAAGTGTGAATGTCCCTCGTGTGAACAACCCTCAAGTGAAAATGCAGTGAAACTCGCAACCCCAGAGCCCCTTTCACATCACTCTAAATAGTAATTGTCCTACCCAAGTCCATGCAAACTTCAGACACCTCCTCTGTGCTTCATGTAGACAGTACAGAATTGATTAAGACCAGGGGACCTCCCAGGGTAGCGAGGAAATGCATATTTCCGCTTGACAAGGACAACTCAGTTACTCTTCTGTGACCACGTTCCCCTCTGTTTTTTCCTTCCCTATCGCCATGAGCTACAGTTTCATCTTAGGTCAGAGGTGGCCATGCAAACCAGCTGTGCCCAGACCCCATCCCACTGTGGCAGGGTGCAAATCACACCCATACAGCTGGCACCCATGAAGAAAAGGGATAGGCAGGGAAGTGCGGGAAGGAGACACGGAAACCTAAGATTCGGCTCAGGCACCTCGGTGTCCCCGTGCATGGCCTTTGTAAAGCACCTGCATCAGAGCCCCTGGGACCCAGATGGTGTGCAGATCTGTCCCCATTCAAGACTTACTGATTAGATCTGTGATGGTAGGTGGAGAGGTAGCAGCTGGAAGCTGTATTTATCAGGCCTTGGTGGGTTTTAAGCCCCTAAAGCTGGCAAACCCCAGGTCTACTTCTAGTCCTGACTGTCCTAACACAGCAAGAGTGAGTGACCAGTTCACCGCAGTGCCTCTTGGTTCCCATTTGTATGACGTGAATAATTACAGGGTGGTTTAGGCTTGGGTGTGCCAGACACAGTTCCCTGAGCTTTATGCATATGAACTTACCCATTGCATATGCACATCCACTTCATGTAAGAATTGCATACTACATGTGAATTCCTACATAGAAACTCAATTCTTATAATAGGCCACCACACCATCACTATCTTCCCCTTCAATTTGTAGTTGAGGGAACTGAGGCCCAGGAAAGTTAAATAATCACCCACAGGCCTCTAGCTCAACAGAGAGAAGTGGGAATACACAGCCAGTGATCTGAGTCTACTGACCAGCATCCTGCTTTACACCACTCCATCATATGATATGGAGCCTGGCTTTCAGGAGGCCTGCATGCTCCAAGAGAGGACAGGCCTTCTAGAGTATGCCTAGTCACCAGATTCAATGGCACAGATACTCTTGGGACCTTCTAAGGGATCCCACTGATGAGGCACCTGTCAGATCCTGGCCTCCATTCCTCATTTCTATATCACTCACCCACTCTTGGAACATGGGATGACTTTAGGCAGACTGTGATCATTCAACTTTTGGGTCACTTTATGTTTAGTGACTATCAAAAAGTACAAGTAACTACACTGTCAAATCCACATTGCACATTGCTTAGAATAGGACTGCAGTTTTGAAAAGTGACAGCTGGTATCCAGAGTACAGTACATGTGCTCTGCCAAGCTGTGACATGTGGTTGGGCATTCTTGAGCCAGTCTCTGGACCTCACTAAAATTCTTTCCTATATCTGTTGGGAAGGAAGCTAGGACTGTGTATGAGCACCACAGAGCTGGTAAGGATGAATTGGAGGCCCATCCAAGCATGCAATCCAGTATGGATCACTCCAGAAACTGTACCATGTTGCTGCTGCTGACAGTGCTAGGAGGATGATGAGGAGAGAGGAGGAATGGTCCTCCAAGGTCCGAAAAGCCAGGTGCCCAAGAAAGACATTCTGAATCTCTTCCTGCAGTGGGCCAGCTCTGCCTGAGGCTCTATAGCAGCAGAATAGAAGGCTTAGGGTCTGTCCCGCTCCAGTCTGCCTGCCAACACACGGAGAACCCCAGGCCTGGGGCAGGAAAGAGTACCTGGATTACTGAGTCTGTTACAAGGCAGTCCTGCAAATAAGAGGACCCATGGATTGTCAGCTCATATCTACCACCAGAACTCCATAGGTCGTCCTCCAGGCCAGCTTGCAACTTTCTCTGATCGACTCCATGCATGTGTGTTGCTTTTGGCAAAGTTACTGAAAGTCAGGCCTGTGGTAACCCCATGGGAGGCCCTGAGTTTGGGGATGACTCAAAAGAGTATAAAAGCAGAAGCTGAAATCACTCGGCCATTTAGCCCTGTGCCCACCAGCAGCAGGCTGCCTGCACCATCCCTGAAGGCTCAGTTGGAGCCTTTATCTGAGGATGGAGTATTGACTGGGAAAAGCCTGGCTATGAGGAGCAAGGACAGTTAATGTGACCACAGGCCTGTAGTCCTCATGCTGCCCTCCAACATGCTACTGACTCTCCCGGGCTTTGCTTTCTACCTCTTTGAAATAAGAGCAGGTGCTCTGCAGGGCTGGACAGAACACTGGAGGAAGGGAGGGCTCCAACTTTGCTATATAGTTATCACTGGAGCCCCTGAGCAGTTTCCAGCAATGGAAAAGAAATTTGCATGGTATTCCAATGAATAAGTATGCCCCCAAAGGCCTGCCTGTCCTGCCTGTCCTGACTAGGTAATGCATGTGACCAGTAAGTTCTACTGTCTGGGGTTCCTTTCTGTTCTGGTTCCCTTCTTATATGATACATTTGTATATTCTGTTTACCCCAACTCATTCCCAAGTTACCTGCAAACATTTGGTATTCTGAATTTAACTTTTCCACTCTCAGCAAATGGAGTCTGTGTTTAGATAACAAGGAGGTAATAAGATGCACTCACATCTCTACCCCTGGGTAGCCTTAACTCTGAGATGGCTTGGCTGGAGCTGGTCTTGATTTTGGTATGGTACACTTGCCCCATGTGGAAATGATCTAGCTCTCAGCCCTACATATCACAGTGATGCCATCAGCATCTCACGCACCATGAGACACAGTTTGGTATTTCCCATTTTTACGTGAACAAGTCAAGCACTGATCAGTCTTTTGTTTTGTTTTTTTTTTTTAAAGCCTGTCTAAAATTGCAGCACTCTAAGTAGTGACACTTGGGCTAGCCATGTGCAGTTGATCTGAAGGCCATTTTATTTCCACAAAGTTCTTCTGAATTTGGCTTCCTCTCATGAACAGCACACATTTATTCAGGGAATCTGAATCCCCATCATCCCCTTCCTCCCTTAGCATCGTCTCCTCTGCCTGCTTCCCTCAGTTGTCTGGTTCCATTAAATGCTCAGTGTCCACAAAGCCAGGGCTCCAAGTATGCATGAAGATACTTTTGAGGAGAAATCATAAATGCCCTACCTGATGTTTATTTTCCTGTAGGGACCACATCCCAGGGAAGACAGAAGGGATGCTGCCAGCCTAGCTTGCTCAGAGTGACTGAGACGCCATTCCCCAGAGGTATAAGTCAGGTCGTGTGACTTCTAGCAAATTGTCCTAGAGTGTTCTGTCTCTGGTGACAAGGGGATAGGGATGCACGTGAAATCCCTGCACAGACCCTTTAGGCAAAAGTCCAAAACACAAGGCTGCCTTGGTGATGCTTCTGTATGGTAACTGTGAAGACATCACTGTTATGGAAACTCCACAGGAAACTGACTTAGCTACTTCAAAACTGAAACTGCAACACCCGTGAACCCCTTTTCCTTCACTGGGACGCTTGTGTACAATGGACTTTTGCTTTTTGTTTATTTCTGCTCATTTTTGCTTTTAATATTACAGAAGGTGGCTTTGTAATGTTTTACAGTTTTAACCTGACCACAAGGTGTGACCACATCAAACTAAAAACACCTCGGTGGACGTAGGCTCTATCTCAAGGTTTTATTCTGGTCATAGATAACATGTTCTGGGTGTCATTTTGACCCCTGCTTTTCACAAAGTACTTCTAGGATGGCCACCTTTCCTGTTGCCTGTCACCAATCAATCCTTTCTAGATGTAATGTTCTAAAGACACAGCACAGATGACCCCATAGCAGAGGGTAGGCTCCATGTTGCCTTCCAAACACTTGCCTAGAGAACCGTTTGAGACTCGGCCCAGAGCTACAAGGTGCTGAAGACCCATTGCGTGACCCTCTTAAGCTCACAGTTGGGTGGGGAAAGGACATTCCTCTGACAGTTATTCAGACGTGACAGGGCAACCTTGAGACATTGCTTCAAAGGAGAACCTCAGGGCTATAGGGCAGGTAGAGGATGGAAGAGAGCTGAGCCTCCTCTGCAGGCTGGAGGGTCTGAAAAAAGCAGCAGGCGTGAGAGGAGAATCAGTGTGACCTCGGCAGGGGTTAGGAGTGGTGAAGGGTGGCATTCCCTCTGGCAGCTGGGCAGATCTGCAGCAAAGATTGACTATGGGCCTCTTGCTGGCACAGCCACCTCCGTGGATCTGTGCTTCATTCTGCATTTAAAGATGTCCTCCAAGCATGTGTAAGCTTCCTGCCCCATGGAGCCTGGTTCTGCCCTTTATTAAAACTCAGGACTTCTGGCTTCAAACCCAATACAGTGAGAGTTCTTCTTCAAATTTCTGGGGTAGGTTCTGGACCACAAGGGAAAGAACCTCCTTTTCAGAATGAGGCAGAGTGTAGGAGGTCATTTCCCCACAGACTTGGGCCAGATTTCTCACCAGCCCTCTGGACCTGACACACTTGTTTCTTGAGAGCCCTGACCCCTCTCCAGTGACAGTGTCATAAGAACACTCACTTTTGTGTCCATCTCATACAAAGGAATGTTTGCCTTTACATAGTTTATTGCCTGTGACTCAGTTTCCCAAATGAACAGCAAATTTGTATATACTGTTCCATCATGATAACTTATTTCTGAATCATTTGCCAGCCGGACCCTTTCCTGGAAGCTCCATTCATCTCCTTAATTATTCTTGTGCCCAATCTCAATTTTGACTCAGGCTGTCCAGAGATTTAAGAGTTGGCCTGCAGGGGCTTCAGAGGCCAGGGCTGGGGTCTCATCAAGGGTGACTATAGCCTGGAAAGAGGTTTTCCAGGGCCTTCAGCCTGCATGGATGAGTGCTGTCTCTGCTGCTTTCTAAGTGTGCTATTTCCCCTGAATGCACCCCAACACTAACCTGTATTGATGCATGTGAGTCGTGGAAAATCACTAAGGATGACAGCAAACATTGCTTGACATCAAGAAGATTTGCATCTTATCGTTGTATCTTTGCAGTCAGCTAGGCTCATGTGAATCAAAAAGCATACTTCCCTTTGAAAACATCATTAACGTCTCATACATCTGTGAGCTCAATGAGGGAAGCAGAATCTGGGTCATGCGGGTCTCAAATGTCAAGGAATTGAAATTCTAGCATACATATAACAGAGTACTCACTTTTCCTTTAGCACCCCTATCCCGGTGAAAATCCCTGCTGACTGATCTCTGATTCAGTGCCCATTTTCCCTAAGGAAAAAGTGCTGTCTCAACCATGGAGCCCAGCCTGCTGGTGACCCTAGAGGGTCCTCGCAGTCATTTGCCTGATACCCTTCCCTCAAGTGCCACAGATGTGGGGCACCTGAGAAAATGGCACTAAAAAGGGATTTTCAAAAATAATTATATGTGTACATACTTTTTGATCAGATTTACCCCTTGTTACTCTCTTGTTCCCCATCTTTCAGGTTGAACATCTAACTAATCTCCCTTCTGCTTTCCCTCCCTCCCTTTCTTTTCTTCCTTCCTTCCTTCCTTCCTTCCTTCCTTCCTTCCTATGTTTAAAGTATGTGGAAAATACATGAAAAAAATTTATATTCTGCACAATTAAAAATATAATAGTCCCTATACTTCCTTCCTTCCTTCCTTCCTTCCTTCCTCCCTTCCTCCCTTCCTTCCTTCCTTTGTTGTAGCTCACTGAATTTAATTAGGGTTGCTTGTATGAGCATGGACACGAAGCTATTTACTGGGGTTTGGACAATTTATCAGTGGCCCCATCACGGAGGGAATGACTTCCCCTCCCCAGCAACCCATAATTGCCATTTGCTCCTCAGGGAAGAGTGGGGTCCCATGAGCCCCTCTAAGAAGGAGTTTTTTTTATAGTACTCTCGGAGTCTGTCCTCTCATGCAAGTTCATTTTCATCATAGACACACTGAGATTTGTGGATATAGGGCAGACCCTGAAGCCGGGTGGTGTGAATCCAGGTCCCACATCTCTAAATCTCATTTTTCAGATGTGAACATTGGGACTAAGGTGGGACCTTGGCAAAAGTATGTTCCACAGCTTTCAGGGGCCTACAGGCCTATCCTAAGGTCATGTCCATTGGGAAGAGGCCTGGGTGGGATGGAATGGGACTTCATAGGAACAAGTTAGGAGGCTCCAGAGGAAAACCCCAGCATCCTTGAAGTTCCTCCTTCGCGCCTTCCCCGCCTGATCAGTTGAACCCTGTGTTTTCCTCCCTAGGACTGGAGAGTGACTTCCTAGCTGTGCTGAACGACTATCCATCTCCTGACATCAGTCCCCCAATATTCCGCAGAGGAGAGAAACTGCGTGTGATTTCTGAGTGAGTGAGCCTCTTGGAACACTTATAATCCCCCAAATGAGCAACTCCATTGGGATGGGAACCACTAGATTTTCAACTATGATCAGTTAATTCCACCCAGGCCCTGGTCTTGCTGTGAGGTGAGAAATATGGCCCCTTCTGTGACTCCTGCCCTTCAGTGCTCCCTGGACTCTAATGTCTGAAGTGACTCCTGTATCTCTGATCTCTCTACTGGAAACAATTTAAATTATTTTTAAAAACAATTTAAATTCTTTAACCTGACATTTAAGACCCTTTGTGACCCAAATGCTGCTTTCCCTTATTGAGTTTGTCAACCGCTGCAGCACATGGTGTATTATTCACGAGGGCATGCTGGGAAGGAGAATTAGGGTCTGGAAACACTGCTGACCATAATAGCACTGACTTCATTTTTCTACTACCGCAATCTCTAAGTCTGGTTCCAAGCAGCCTACAGCACAAACTAGGGGCTTTGAGCTCCTTGACTTAGAATCTCATTGATCTAGTCTTGTGAACCGATCTTTGGTTATACATGAGGGTATAAACCAGTACAGGAGACATTTGTTTTTGAAATCCTCCAGTTGTGACTATCAGCTGAGGACATGAACTACTGGCCCCCAAGAGTGGCATTGTCAGCATGTAAGCAGGCAGGATACATACACTTTCCAAAACAAATTTTCAGGTTGGGGAGATAGCTCAGTTGGTAAAGTGCTTGCCATCCCCAGAACTCACATAAAAATGCAGACATGGGGGTTGGAGAGATGGCTCAGTGGTTAAGAGTACTGACTGCTTTTGCAGAGGACCCGGGTTCGATTCCCAGCACCCACATGGTGGCTAGTTCCAGTTCCAGGGGGCTCCGAAGCCCTCTTCTGACCTCCGTGGCATTGCACAACATGGGTGTGCTCACATACATGTAGGCAACACACTCATACACAAAAAATTGAAAAAAAATAAGTAAAATATTTTTTTTAAAAATCCCAGACATGGTAGTACACACCTGTAATCCCAGTACTGGAGAGAATGAGACATGTGGATCCCCCAGGGCTCCCTGGTCAGCTAGCCTAATCTACTAGGCAAGTTTCAGGTTCGAGAGAGACCCTATCTCAAAAAATAAGGTTGGGACCAGCAAGATGCCTCAGCAAGTAAAGGTGCCTGCTGCATAAGCCTGACGACCTAAGTTTGATTCCTAGAACCTGACGTAAAGGTGGAAGAAGAGAACTGACTCCACAAAGTTGCCCTCTGACCTCCACATGCATGCTGTGGCAAGCGCATGCCCCACTCTCCACATCATATAAACACATGCATGTATGCATGCATACACACACTAATAATAATACATAAAATAAAATTCAAAAACCCTAGGTGGACAATATCCCTAGGAATGATATCCAAGGTTCACCTCTGACCTCTACATGCACACATGTGCCCCTGCACATGCATGTACAGATACATCCATGCAAACACACACATAAGACACCTAAATTTTCAGTTGGAGACATGCAGGGCTGAGTGACTGATGAGAGATCTTACAAAGGAACATTCCAAGCTAGTCATTCCATGGACTAGTCTGATGAGCACGTATCTTTTGCTTTGCCATTTACCTGTGCACCTGTTCCTCTCTGCTTTGTCTTGACAGTGAAGGGGGCTGGTGGAAAGCCATTTCTCTCAGCACTGGCCGGGAAAGTTATATCCCAGGAATATGTGTGGCCAGAGTATACCATGGGTGAGTAGTGTGTGAATGGATTTGTTTGATCATGTGTGGGTGACTCACAGGTAACAAGGATAGGCTCCAGCACAGTACACTGGAAAGACGGTATGGTGTCAAGGAAGGACACTCCTACCCCAGCTCAGGTCACAGAATGGATGTGAGCTGGCCTAATCCCTCCCACTTTCTGTGACTTGATTCCCCAGCAGTAAATTGAAGGAAGTCGGGCGTTCCTGCTCATGCATGGTGTTCCTGACACACAGCTGAGGGCTCTGGTACTGTATCTAGGAAGAAGCCCAGTTCAGTGGCTAAAGCCAGTCTGTGTGGCTCCAAATCTTGATTCTGTCATTTCTTGCTCATGAGATGGTGGACAAGCATCTCAGCTCTGTATGTATCCTCAATGGCCACTGCAAAGCACAGTGTACTTGGTAGACGTTAACAGTGCAGACTCAGGAGGCTGAGGTAGAGGATTGTCAGGAGAATGAGGTGGATGCCGGACAGCACAGTCAGCACTCTTTAGCAAGCATTGCCATGTTCCCTGGCTAAGAGCAGCCATGGACAGAGTTCCATGGGCTCAGCAGCAGAGGAGCAGACACGTGCTCTCATAGCTGGGGGTCCGTACAGCCTTCTGGGAGGCTTTGACAGGCTAAAGCAGTTCCAAACTTATCCCCTTCCTGCCATGGAGGGATCTTGGGAATGTGATTTAGCTTTTCCCAGCCACAGGATCCTCCTCTGTCACATTACCAAGGCTAGACCTCCGCCCAGACAAGCACAGCAAAGAGGAAGCAAGAAGGAAGCCAGCAATCGCCACTGTTCGCGTAGTAAAGAACGTCACACGCACCACAGGGACCACTGGGAAGAGGAATTCTGAGCATTTGATGTCACTGTTGGCAAACTTAATCCCTTGTGCTTGGACTGCAGAAGGTGAACAGAAGTGGCTGCTGTGTGAGTCATATACCAAAGATATCAGTGTCGGACATCACTTCTAAACCTGGGGCTCTGATGCATTTGCTTGTGCATAGGGAGCACGCATTGACGCCTTCCTTCATGTTGAAGGTGTGGGGCTGCACCTGCAGGAGCTGAGGGGGTGAGAACCCAGGTGACTGACATAACCATGACCCTACCAGGCAACTGACCTAACAGATACAATATCATTTCTCCAATACAGAATCGGAAGAGAGCAAGCACTCTAAAACGGTGAAGGAATTGCACTCACCCTCAGAATGCACTCTAACTCTGCCCTCTCAACTGCTGGTATAAAATTTTGGATTAGTTAGTTCAGCTCTGTGGTCCTCAGGATCCTTATCTGTGGAAAAGGTAGCCTTGCCTGTTCAGGGGACCTAGATGAGGGTTAGCCTTCAAGACACTATAGACAATATACTCAAATAATCCATGTCCTTACATGGCTGATGCTATTGTTTTATTGTCTTCACCATTATAAGTAGGAGTTTGTGAAGGATTTGAATGCATGAACATTTGTTATACACACTAAAATGAATACACCATGTATTGTGTGGCACTGGGGAATAGTTGGAATATTTAATCAAACATGGTGTAACCATGGTTCTAACAATAAAAGTGAGCATGTTGCAGGGCCCACAGGTAAAAAGATCTACTTCTGCCTCTGTGCTGTCCTGCAACCTGGTACTCAGGGGCGCTCAACTTCCCCGACTTCACCCTGCACACGCCTTGATGAATCTTCCGGCTGTGAGACAGCAAAGTGTTACTGTTCTCCACAGCACTAATTTGGACCTCGGGGTTAACAAGCAACATCCACTCACCAAGTGCACCACCTGTTAAAAAGTGAGGCCTACACTGGCCACCTAATAACAACGTTTCCTCCTGAACATGGAGCTGGCAGAGCCTAATATGAAAGTGAACAGGGGCTGCTGCACTTGCACACAGATTGCTCTGATGCAGAGTGGCCTCCTGAGAACACCTAGAGTGTCATCGCCCTGTGGATGTGACCCTCTCTGGAACACAAGTGTTCAAGCACAATTGTCATTGTGCCTGTGTGTTTGCTTCTCGCTGTATTCATCTAACAGTGAGAATGAGCAGCCCAGCGCCCCTAAGATGCAGACATGCAGGCATGCATGAATGAATGGATGCAACAGCAGTCGGTATCCTTCGTTTGTAATTCTAGCACCTTTCTGGTAACTGGCCTTCCACTCTGTGTCCCTTTTGTTAACTGGCCTTGAATTCTATGGCCACTTAGAGCTGTCCTCTTCCTTCACAGGTGGCTGTTTGAAGGACTGGGCAGGGAAAAGGCGGAGGAGCTCTTGCAGCTGCCAGACACGAAGATTGGTTCCTTCATGATCCGAAAGAGTGAGACCAAGAAAGGTGAGCAGCCTCTCTCTGTGTGGCCACACAGCATGCTTTGTTCCCAGCTGCCCTGCTGTGGTTCCCATGTGCACCAAATGAGCTCTGTCCTGTTGCCAGCTCCCTGGTGCCACAGTCAGCCTGACAGCAAGGTTTCTAGGGAAAGGGCAGGCTCAGCCTCAGAGCAAACCTCAGTTCCATCACCAAGAACACATGGGAATGGTAGGCGTGGGCAGCATGCCGGCACACAGATGAGAGGCTGGTACAGGCCTGGCCTGGCTTCGCAAGCTCTGTTTTTGAGCTGGTTGTTTATTCTTGAACTCAGTTTTCTCATCAGTAAAATGAGAAGTCACCTCCCTTATGAGGTCATTGTGAGACTCAAATCGAGCATCTGTGACTGTGCTGGGGGTAAAATGGGGCAGCTCAGAACAAGGACAAGCAGACGTGAGCTTGCAGACTAGAGATCTTTATCCTTCTGACTTCCTGTATCAGTAAAAAGAAAAACAGAAGAGCCCTTGCCACAGTTCAGAGCAGGGACCCATAGAACAGTGTCAGCACTAAGGCGGCTGCCTCCTCTCTGTCAGCCTGGATCCCTCGCCAACAGCATGAGATCAAGTCCAGAAAGTGCTCACTCAGCACCTTGCCTGAACACTCTCAGGGCTTCAAGTTGTGGAACCCCAAAACTTCACACTCACATTCTAGATAGAGGAAACATGTTCTAGTTCTCAGGCTGCTTCTTGTCACAGAAGAGAAACCACGGTGTCTGTATTTCCCAGGCATGTGTTAAGGCCAAGGGGCCACCTGACACTGGGGATGTCACAAAAATGAGCAGCATCCTGGTTGTGGAGCAGGGACTGTATAGATTCACTGTACAGTCCCAGAGCACCTTTTCTCTCTGAAGGCTGAATGCTCAAGAGCAAAGCAGAGGCAGTATGCTGTATGGAAATCCCAGGCGTCTCCCAGCGCAGGATACTTCAACTCAAAGCCTCCAAAGGTGGCATGGCCAAAGGGAGGGAGAACCCCAGGGCAGCACAGCTCAACCACAAATCACCCCATGCTCAGTCATCAGGCAGGTCTGCAGGAGATAGGGCCAGACAACAGGCCCTGCCTTTGGGTATGCAAAGTTGTGACGATTTTCCACTTGCCACTGAAAACCTGCTCCCCACACTTCTGGTTCCTGTCGACGTGACAAGAAGTCACGTAGTGGGTAATTCTGAGGGCAGGCCTGGAGCACAGCTAGAATACATGCCCCTCAGGATGGCCTAGGAGGCTAAGGAGGGGGCATGGGCCCAGTGATGCCATCCCTCCTGAGCAAGGTGACTCTGCACACATTGCTTGGGACCTCAGCCTCCTCTATAAATTATCTAGGGACAATCCCTTCCAGGCCTTTATAGGTGGCACAGACTCAGGGACACCCAGTGCCTTCCATCTCAATGCCCCCAGAGTGAATCACTCCTAGAAACCCAGTGGATGGGACAAAGCGGGGAGGACTAAAACATGACCTGAGCCCAAGGGTCTCAGTTTCCTCTTGAGGACACCAAAGCTACAAAACCTACCTAGGGTCTTCTACTAGCCCATACCAGGTCACTGATGACACTGATGGACAAATGGCACCTTTCACAGGTCTCTCAGGGGCCCATAACCACATCCTAACTGCCACTTGTTCCAAGTGTCTGAGAAAATTTGGTTTAAATCAAGAGGGAAAAGGGAGCTTGAAGGGAGGTGCAACCCTGAGCTCCCTCTGGGCACGCAGTGTGGTGACATTGGAGGTATGGGGGCTGGAGGGGACAAGGGACAGTGACAACATATCATCTACCAGTGTGCATATGGGAAGGGTTCAAAGGCCTCAGAGCCCTGTCTGCCCTAAGCAGGAGCCGGGAGACCTGTGGGGCAAGGCTATCATTGGTTCCCTCAGAAGCTGGTGTAGCATCATTTAGAGAGCTACAGCAAATCATATCTAAAAGACAGGGCAGGCACCATGAGCAGAAGCCCAAGGAAGCAGCCCTCTGCCTTGGTGAAGGTGGACTCGGTAAACTATCACCCTTGGGTGGGGCCCCATGGCCCCCACTGACTCCCACTGTCCCCTCTGCAGGTTTCTACTCGCTGTCGGTGAGGCACAGGCAGGTGAAGCATTACCGCATCTTCCGCCTGCCCAACAACTGGTACTACATCTCCCCCAGGCTCACCTTCCAGTGCCTGGAGGACCTGGTGACCCACTATTCTGGTAAGGAGCAGCCAGGGCCAGTGGTATTGCTGCAGGAGACAACAGTGCCTGCCAGGTGGCATAGGCCACTGAGAAAAGCTCATGGCTATCGACTCTTCCCCACCCATTCTGCCATCTCCAGATGCTAGTTCAGGGTGCACAAGCCTCAGCCAAACCAGACTATATGCTGCCTGGCTGGCAGAATGCTCTCTGCTTGTAAATAAAATGCACTAGGAGGCCCAATATCCACAAGCAGAACCACAGACACTTTGCACCTCTTTAAGGAGCTTCTCCGCTTTAGGGACTCTGAGGCTTTGTTCTGACATGTCAATCATTTCCCCTTTGCTGCTTGTCAAAATCCTCTTCAGCCTTGAAAGCCAACATCACCCCACCTCAGCAAGGAAGCCTCAGCAGCTACTCTTTCTTTCCCTAGTTCTCCAGTTGTTCCATCACATGGCCTAGTTAATTATGGACTTGTCTGTGTTTGTCAGTGAGCTCCCAAAGACTAGGGGTTCATCCAGACCAGAAGAGAAGTCTAAATCTCATAGGCTGCCCAAGACTGGGAGGATATCCCAAGATGGTAGAGCATCCTAGCTTTGATGGAGAAGAGTATAGAGTCAGAGATCAAGTTGGATTAGATTGAGAAAGACCCAGATGCAAGCTCTGGGTTTGGAATGGTGCCCTGTGGACCAGAGAGCAGCACAGCAGTTGACTAAGCTTCCAAGGCTGGCTCTGGCCCTTCTGTTTCTATATTCCAGATTCGCTTACCAGTGGCGATGCCACCTGGGGCCACGTGCCTCACTTTCTTCCTGTGCAAGGAGATCCTAATGTTCCTCCTACTGCTGGGCCATGCTGAGAGCACGTGGGGCAGGAACATGAAAGGTGCTGAGCACTAGGCTGGCTCCTGACAGTGAGCACCTACAGAATGGCAAGCCCTTCCCTTCAGCCTGTTCTTCCTCTGCAACTCTGCCCTGCTGGAGGGAGGAAAGGAAGACATTGTACTCCTTTATTAATGTCACTCTCCTTCTGGGTTCAAGATGCCTACCCTTACACCAGGCAACCTCACTGAGTATGCTTTAGGAGTTAGGGTCTTGAATTAAAGAAGCAAAGAACTTTCCATAGAGAAAGAAGCCCATAGCCTTCTGATGGCATCCCTGACCTATGAGAAGCAGCAGGAGATGAGGCTCAATGGCTGCTGGGAGAGGCAGGTGTGAGTGCAGCGCTAGGCTGTGAGAAATCTTGATCAGGCCTCCATCACTCATTCACTGAAAGAGGTGGGAACAGCCCCCTCACAGGGCATTGCATGACCTCTAAACACAGCCATCTATGTGTTGTGTTTAAAAAAAAAAAAACCCCAGCATATGGCAGACACAAAAACAAATAATGACAAATATCACTTCTGTGCTAGCCCCAAAGCTAGCATCTACTTAAAAATGAAAGAGGAAGAGAGTCCTGGACTTCGACTGCACACGAATAAAGGCTGTTTGTGGTATTTGGCTCTTAATAACAATCATCTGAGGAGTGTGCCAACCAGAAATTTTGCATAGACAATAGCAAACACATAGCGAATGCTGCCCAGTAGAGCTTTCGTGACTGGGAGACCATGTACTGCTTGCCAGGAGCACACACCGCCTCCTGAGCTGCTAGGCCGTAGGGAACACCTTATGCTAGTGCAAAACTAGCACCTTCCCGAAAGACGCCACTGATCATCATGTGGGCAGAAGGGTTATAGCCATGGGCTCCTCTCTGCTAGCAAGCAGGGAGGGCCTAGGATTCTAGACACTTCCTGCATCCTTTTTAAGATCTGACTGGGAAATGGGGCCCTTGAGAGCAGAGTTTCTGAAGGCAGGTAAATTAGATGGTGGATCACAGTCAACAGGAAAGGGGCAGGAAAACTTCTCCATTCGAGGTCATGTACTGCTTCTACAACGTGTCACTGGTTCTCAGTCAACGGGACAGGGGTGTAGCTTACATTTCCATGGCCTTCTGTTTCCTTTGTATCCCAAATATGAAACTACTAACCACACAACACCAAGGGAGGGCGTAAGTGAGATCAAACACCTGAGGCTAGCTCAGCCCTTGGTTTGTGTCACTTACTTACACAACATCAGTTTGTTTTCACATGCTGAACAAGCAGGCCTATGTCGGGGCACCATCAGAAATGGTCTTATGTGCCAAGCTGTGAGATCTCTAGACTTTCTGTCTGACTCTCTCTTTCCCTCATTGTCTGGGAGGTCCTTGTGAACCTCCAGCCCCAGCAGGTCACTGTTTTAGATGCACATCCAATCAAGCTTTCTCCCCCATTCCTCCATCTGCACCATGTGGATGACATTTGGGGTCAGCATGCAATCCACCTGGAAGCCACGAGCAGCCAGGGGACTACCACCCTCTGCTAAGCTGATTTGCTTCCTAAATCCAGCCTCGGACCACTCAGTCATGCTACCTGCATCTGATGTGCTTCCTAAGGCAGGTCCCTTTCGTTCTTGAGCAAGGACACCACAGAGCTACTACATAGGTCAGATGGAAGGAGGCCACCAGGCATGTAAGATGCTCTCTAAATGTTCTTGAGCAAGGACACCACAGAGCTACATAGGTCAGATGGAAGGAGGCCACCAGGCATGTAAGATGCTCTCTAAAACCTGAGGATAGGTAGCCCGAGGCCAAGGTACATGGGTCATGCTGGAGACAAGCTGTGTGCCTGGCAGCCTTGGTTACTGGATCTTCCCAGGGATGAGGGCAGAGCTGGGCCACTTGGCCTGAGTAAGGTGACACAGACTTCCCTTAGTCCTGAGGTGCCTGTGATCATGTCACAGGCCAGGGAGGCTTGGAACTCATGCAGTAAGTTACATCTTGTTGCTCAAGGACAGATGAAGTCCTTCGGGCTCAGATGCTGCACACTAGCCGGGGGGAGTGGCAGTGGGTTCGCCTCATTTTCATTTCTTTTCTGCAGCGTGGCTAGGGTCGGAAGCGTTCCCTTCTGCCTGTGTTGCTCTTGTCTGCCTGGCCTCTTTCTGCTTGCTTTTTCTTCCCTTTCCCTGTCTTCTCCCTGGCCGTGTCTCCCTCCCACTCTCTCTCTCACATACTTTTCTTTTTCCTCCCCTCCCTCTGCCTTTCTTTCTTCCTTCCTTCCTTTGTCTTCTGCTCTGACACTGCTTCAGATGCTTTGGAGGTCCTGTGCTACACATGGCCCCATTCTCATGCACAGAAGGCTCAGCCAGGCATAGGCACATGACATTCTGCCTGGTAGGAAACAACTGCTTTCATGCGGCCTCTGCCAGTTGCTTGCCTCTGTTCCTCCCTTTTCTTCCTTCTGCAGTTGAGGAGAGTTGGGGGGTCAGAGAGGCCTGAGGTAACTCCGCATCAGAACAAAGCTGAAACACAAACCCAAGTTTGGCTGACTCTGATCAGAAGCCCGTTTCTGTCCACATCTATATAAGCCAGAATTCAGATCCTTCAGGGTACAGTAATATATGGCACCCCACGCCACGTCCCTTTAACAACTTGGCTTCAGACCGCCCATGCCAGCAACTGGGGTCTATACTGGACGAGGTCTCAGTTCTGTTCTCTACATTGGCTTGTCATGCCCATGTCCCTGACTGCTGTCTGCTCCCATTCCCAGAAGTGGCTGATGGTCTATGCTGTGTGCTCACTACACCCTGCCTGGCACAGAACACAGCTGCCACAGTGGCTCGCCCGTCACCATGTACCACCCCTGGCTCACCTGTCACTCTGCGCCAGAAGAACTTTGACTGGAAGAGGGTATCCAGGTATGTGTGTGTTCCCTCCACGAACATGCGAGCACCAGATAGTGGGTGAGCCTGGCATGAGAAAACCATGCGCAGGAACACCCAGCCCTATTGACATCCCTTTGAGTACTCTGAGCAAAGGCAGAGACTCAAACCTGTGAGCCCAGCCTTGGGCATCACACAGCATGTGATGTCTTCAGTTCTCTGGATCTTCAAACATTCCCCAAGTCCATATTCAATATGAATAGTACATTTTTAACAGAAATACATCACCTTGCTCTTTATCATTATTAGGAGCCTAGACAGTGGCACACAAATCTGGTACAAATTTAGTACTTAAAACCCATTCACAAAACTTAAACATGCTTTGTGTTTAAGGCTGAAGGCAATTCATTCATTCTGAAAAAAAAAACTTCCACTAATTTGTTCTATTTATTCCATTGATAACTATTAAGTTTTAGATGTATATCTGTGGGTTGTAATCTGTGGGTATCTTACTAAATGAACATGGACCCGGGTAACTCATCAGCAAATTCAGAGTAAACCAGAGATCAGAATTGCCTGAGCAATGAATGAAACTATCCTTTCTTGTAAATACCATAAAGAAGTATCCACTAAGGTTTATTGTGGGAAACTTTAGCCCCCAGAGAAACAGTGGCTCCAAGATCATACAGCCTACAAATATCAGAACCAGAATTAGAACCAGCCAGACACTAACTTTCTCTTCCTCTCTTCCTCCTCATCCTCCTCTTTCTCCTTCCCCTTCTCTTCTTCCTCCTCTTCCTCCTTCTCCTTCCCCTTCTCCTCTTCCTCGTTATCCTCCTCCTCTTCCTCCTCCTTCTCCCCCTCCTCTTCTCCTTCTCCTTGTCTTTTCTCATTCTTTATCTCCATCCCATATGCTGCCAAACATTCTTCTTTTTTCCCTTTCTCTGCCCCATTCTTCCAACACACAGACTGCAGGAGGACCCTGAGGGAACGGAAAACCCACTCAGAGTGGATGAATCCCTTTTCAGCTATGGCCTTCGGGAAAGTATTGCATCCTACCTGTCCCTAACAGGGGATGACACCCGCCCCTTTGACCGGAAGAAAAAGAGTCTCTCCCTGATGTACAGTGGCAGCAAACGCAAGAGCTCCTTCTTTGCGGCACCCCAGTACTTTGAAGATTAATGTTCTGGCTGGCACACAAAAGACAAAAGCTTTGATTGCCCCCAGGGGCATGTGGAAGCCTGAGCTCTCTGGTCCCTGGGCATCTCATGTCTTCCAAGAGCCAAGAGAAGTCACATAGAGATTGCCTTTACATCCTGAACAAAGGAACCCCTCCCTGGAATCTTATAAGTACTGTGGTACCACAGCATACTGAATCATGATGTGATGGGGCAGTGCTCCACAGAGCTCTGTGTGTGTGTGTGTGTGTGTGTGTGTGTGTGTGTGTGTGTGTGTGTGTGTGTATGAACAGGACACTCTCACAACAGAGTGCATGGAGACTTCTCCAGCCCACAGTCCAGATGGCCCCAATCTGAATCCCTGTGGAAACATTCATTTGAGGAAGATGATCTTCTTGAGTCTGAAGAATGGCCCCTGCCTGGAGCAGAGTTGCCTTCAAACACGCAGCAAGAACTTTGGGCTGTGCTTGCCTCCTCTTTGTAAGGAACATGTGACACTAAACACTAGCCAGAAGGACTTATATCTCTGAGCCAGGTGGACCTTCAGCATTCAGGTTCACCAAAGCCACAGGGGCAGGAGTCGGATGGTCACTCCAATTCCTAGGAGGACAAAGGGCAGAGAGGGAGCAATCAGGAGAGGCAGGAGGAGGATCAACTGCTTAAACTTCTCAGACAGCCAGTCCTGCCTCCACAGCACAAAAAGTCCTCATCCAGCTGCTGGAGTTCTTGGTTGTTGGAGTCCTTATTCCTTGTGGTTGTCTGCAGAGGCCTAAGTGACATCTTATGCTGCAGTCAGGTGGTATTAAAAGAGGTACAAGCAGCACCTTTCAACATAGTGGGATCCCAGCAGAGGCAGGACAGCAAGCAGATCAGCAGAGGATGTAACAGTGGGTGTGAAATGAGAGACGGCCTCACAGTTAGGAAGGGTGGGGTAGGTGAGGGTGAGGGTCCTATTCACAGGGTCTACCAGAAATGTAAGGGATGCTGGACTGAGGAGGTAAGAACAGTCAGGTTTTTTTTTTTTTTTTAAGGATCCACTTTAAAGATTAATTTATCCCTATTTGTATTTTAGTCTAAGAAGGGTCAGCATCTGCATGGCCAAAAATGCCACTCTCCCAGAAAGGGCAGCTAGAGAGTCTGAATACTGTGTCATACACAATTGCGAGAAAACTCCCAGGACTCCCAGGAAGGAGACATCTCCATCCAGTGTCACTCCTGCATCCTGCCAGGACAGGAGGCAAAGGAACCATGGCTTGCCCCTCCCTGTTTCTTGGAGGGATTCTGAGGAGGAGGAGTACAGGCAGGGTCTGTCATTGATGTGATTTCCTATTGTCAGGATAGGTGTTTTACAAGGGATGATGTATGGTCTCCTAATGTTCCCCAAAGGCTGTTTCAAAGAGACCAGCCAATATGTGAGACAGGAATGTCATCACATGAGGACAGCAACTTTGGCCACGGGGAGTGACTCTGGACTCCTGATATGTCTGCTCAGTGTCTTCTGTGTTGTTTTCCGTTGTGATCAATATGATTGGAACCTTGGGTGGCATTCAGGGGCACTTCTGAGTGAGAAGCATTACACTTTGCCCAATCATGTATTTATTCCTGATTAAAGTAAAACTAATAATTATTTAACCTTGGATGAGGAATCTATGGGTTGAAAGCTTGAAGAGCTATCAGGTTTGGGCTTTTCAAGGAAACGTTTAACTGGAAGGACAGGAATGAAGACCAGTAAGAGACACAGCTCTGACTGGAGGTCCAAACTGTCAAGTCTTGAGGGTCTCTCACTCACTGGAGTGGAGATGGGAGGGCTTGAGGGGGAGAGCAGATTCCTTGTGCTCACAATGACAACTCTGTCTGCACATTATTTGAGATACTTGAGCTACTCAGTCTTCTGGGAATTTCTTTCCACAAATATTGTCTGTTGAACAGACACCGCTGAGGCTGTGGCTGTGGAAGTCTGATATATCATAACAAAGAAGACACTTTCTGAGGAAAGGGCAAGTTTCATGCAGCCTTGACAAGTGTGGGTTCTTTAGATGGGTGCTGAGGCTGGAGTAGCTGACAGTTGTGCAAAGATTTAGGAAGCATGGTCTAGGGCAGGACCTGCAGACAGTAGCAAGTCTACAGCCAAAAGGCTTCAAGACACCAAAGGGCAGGAGGGAGGAGTCTGCCTGCCCTGGAGGGGTGGAGCTTAGCCACACTCTGGGGAAAAGGCAGCTTTGGGAAGGATCTAACTAGAGGAGGATACAACAGCTTATTTGACATTTGAAATTGCAACTTCATGTTTCTATAAGGCACATGCTTCTAAGGATGCCAAGTCTGAAAACAAGACACCCAGGGAGAGGAAGCCTTTGTTCAGTCTCATGCCTGCATCCTGATGGGAAGGGAGGCTGTGGAAAGTGGGTCTGTGGGGACATATTTGCATGACTCTTTGCACCATGCAATTCAGGTGTTTGGGAGGCATGTGTGGAAATTTTAACATGGGCAGAAATGAACAAATGAAAAGCTTTTCGTACATGTTGATGCAAAATGAAACATAAGATGAGAATCAATCATATAAGGCTTGAAACTTGAAAAAACAGTCTGGGGAAAAGGCAGAACTTACAGCCTCAGCTGACAGAATGGCACTATTTTGGAATGCCCTAAGCAATCACTACAGGGCAAGTGTTAAGCCCAAAACATCTTTAGTACATTTTAATATGTGACTCTCAGAAAATGCTAGACTAAATGAAAACAAGTAAATCAATGAAGGGACATGTAAATTTTGGTGCCATTGTGTAGATTTCCGAAAGCAAATAAGAGTGCATTAAGTTGCAGACAAAGCTGTCATAGGCCTGATGCCCGGACACTTGTGATGCCTCTCCATCAATTTACATATTTACAACCAAGGTATATTATCTGCATATACTAAAATGTTACAAGGAACTCATCATCTTGTACATATTTTATATTAAACTCAAAAGAAGAAAAGTTCATGACAGTTTTCAATTTCCACTAAATTACGGTAAATATATGCATATATTAATAACAAAAATCTAGGTGTCAGCCTCTACCCACCGCACTTAATGGCCAAGATGATCGCATTGGAGACCAGTTGGCAGAAGGATGAGTTAAAATTCCATGAATCTAAATCCATAAAGAATTCCTAGGTTAAGAGAAAAATCTTGCACAAAATAAAATTAGGGGAAAATGACATTTGCTACTTTTCCAAAATTTCTGAGGTGCAGCTGATAAAATAGATAGAAGGAGTTTCATTGCTTGAAGCACAGTATGTTGACCAGAAAATAAAGGCTGAGAGACAATGAACTCAGCTTCCAACTCGAGCTCAGAGAACACGGCACACTCCATAGGGACATAACAGAAAGGGCCGATACTAGCAATTCATTTTCTTTTAAATAGTCACAGGGAAGATTTTTACAGAGAAAGATTAAGATGTAACATGTAATGAACAAGATTAAAAGGACAGATAAAAACCTGGGCTAGCATGATCAAGAAAGACAGAGTACAAATTTGAGAGAAACAGGGCCCTGGGTAAGAAGAGGTCTATGAGGGTCTTTGTGGCAAGCCCTGGGCCAACAGAGTGGCCACCTTCTTGCTTCATAGCTCCTACTATCTGGATCCCTTCCTCAGCCCAGAGAGCTCTGTGGATGAGACTCAAACCCCTGGAGATGGTGGAAAAGCTAGAGGAAACTAGTGGCCCAAGTATAATGCAGTTACCCTGGCTTCTTACCCTGGGAAGTACTCTGAGAAAGAGAAAGAAAACAAGAGGCTTCAACCACCAAGATGCTTTGGTGCTGGGTTTCTGTGTCACTGCACCTGAGACTTTGGTTCAACAGGACAGAAATGAACCAAATTATTCACAGATGATGCAGTAGCTTCATAGAAAACTCAACCAAACTAGCAGGTGAGGCATTCAAATAGTTAATAGAGTTGGTGGAATTTATTAACTGATTTATTCTCTGACATGAGTCTTTGCCAACTGGAAAACACCAAAGAAACTCACATGCCATTTGCATGTGGCTAGACTATGGCATGTTGAGGAACCTGACACAATTACGTGCATTTTCCAAAACCCTATGAAAAGACCTAAGGACATACAATACTATGTTCATGGTTCTCATGTTAACCTAATTCATAGAACAAAGCTGGACATCAGAAAAATACTGATTTTCACCCTAAAACAGATAAATTCTATGACATCATACTCAAATTCCTAGGAAGAATATCAGAATAAAACAAACCTCAATAAAGCCATTCTGAAGTCTGCATAGAAAGACGTGCACTCAGGACTAGCCAAGCTGATTCTGAAAGACACTACTCTGAGAGGATGCTCCCACTATGAGATAGGCACCAACCACGAGGGACAATCTATGGGCCTATACCACCATCTTTCTACCCTGGTTTGAGTGCTGGTTCTTGGCAGCAAGCCAGAAGCTATGAGATAAGAAAATTAAAGAGAATTAAATTCTAGAAAGGACTGACATCCAGCCATGTTAAAAATTGTTAAAAAAAATAGCATGTCAAATGAGGCATAATTATTCAAAGTTGCTGAAATAGAAATCTTGTGTTAAAGGGAGCTTGCTTCTGTGTTGGGAGACAGGAAAGAAGTAGGGGGCCTTGGATCATTGAGTCTTGAGGGATAGAGGGATCTTCCAGTGACATGAGCTGCCCAGTGAGCAGAGATAGAAGCCTGCAGGGTGCCTGACCTTTCACATTGCTCCATGGTGCCATAACAAGTATGCTGGGCCAGCTTCATCACTATCCTGGGACACATGGGACCTACAGACTGTAGGTTTGATACGTGTAGCCTAAAGAGATGTGGGCACTTTTTAGGAACTCTGATGACCTAAATCACAGGGGAAGAAAGCAGGGAAAGGTAGAGAATTCAGCTAGAGGCTGATTCATAAAGCTGGGGCTGACCAGGAGGAGCACAGCAGTCCCAGACTAAAGTTGTAGACAGTATAGAGCATACTCCTCCTTCTTCTCCCTCCCTGTAAACCTGCCACAGAACTGAGACTGCAGGATACATGGCTACAGCAAGTTGCAACCCAGCCCAGGGAAGGTGAGTTGTCCTGGACTTTGTTTGGATATGGAGGTGGCTTCCCTTGGCAAGGGAAGGGGGTCTAGAATCTCCTGAGTGGGCAGGACACTTTGCAAACCTGATGCTATGACAGCTTTTCAAGATGTTGAGAGGTAGAATTAAGCACACCCATTTTATAGGCAAAGAATGTGAGGCAAAGGTTTTTTCCCAGCAAGGCTAGGATTGTAATGCAGGCTTACCTGAGTCCAGTTTGGCCATTTACCTCACATTTTGAGACCCTGAGAGAATCCCAAGTTCCCAGAAGAGCAGCCGTATAAGGTGGGAAAACAGAAGCTTTGGGTTTAGGTCTTGGCTCCTAATAAACCTTTTTAGCTGTGTATTCTTTGGCAAGTCACTTAAACCCCCCTGAATCTTGATTTCTTATCTCTGACTAGAAATAAAATAAAACCCAGTGCCAATCAATGCAAGGAATCTGAGATAAGATAGTATTTTTTTTTCTCCAGTATGGTACACTAAATATAGATTATTAATTATCACCACAGGAGTTTCTCTTGATGGATGTTTAAACATCCCAGCCCCAAGAGATGCAGAAAGCCCTAAGAGCTTACCCAAGAATAAATCACCAGCTCACTCTCCTTCCTCAAACATCTGTTGGTAGCAAAAACATGTTTAAGAGCTGCTAATATATCGAAGCATTTTAGTTTCTCAGTTCCAAATAATGTCACATGCATCCCAAGGACTTCTGGGAGCAGTTGTAAAATCTGCTTCCAAATTCACAAAACAGACTGAGGGGTTATTTTTAAATACACTACCATTTGTTTCTGAAATTCTCTAAACACTTAACCTTCCATAAAGAGAAGTCTGCCTGCTGGGCCTAGTGGAAGGCATTTGTGCATCCCCAGGGTCCTTGTGAGGGTCTGGTGGCCGACAGCACCCTGGAGGAACCCCTCCTCCCAGGACTGGCTCAGAGCAGGAGGGGCTGAGTTCAATACCAGGAATTGGAAGATGCTCATGCTCCAACCTCCTGCCAAAATGGATGCACTTCAGAGGGTCAGAATGAAGAGAAGCAGAACCAGTGGACCAGAAGTATAATAAGAGTATGACAGAAAAGACCTGGCTGGCCTGCAGGTCCCTCGCTCCCAGAGAACACTACCAGGACATCTGCTCGTCCGTCTGCACACTCACTGTACATTATATAATTCCTCACTGGAAGGTGTGTTGAGCCAGGTGCCCAGGGCCTGCGGTGGGCATGGCATGCATTCCAGTGCTCTCCAGAGGTTAGGCACATAGCGGAGATCAACATGGTCATGAAAGCAGTTACTCGTGGGAATCAGGACACCTGCTGTTCAGGTAGCCATATATAGGGCTTAGTTCTGAGCTGAGAAGTCCGGAAGCTCTTCCTAAATGATGAAGGATCAGGGAAAGAGGAGGCTAACAGAAAGGTATTCTTTGCAAAAGAAACAGCCTGCACAGCCATAGATGAGTCCCAGAAACAGAAAAGCTCCTGTAGCCAAGAAGGGACACAGAGCAGCCAGGGGCTCTTCTGTCAGGAACAGTGACAGCCCCTATCTAGCATCAGTTATGGCCAGGCAGTAATCTTCTCCTCCCTAATGATCAAGGAAGGCAGGACGTGCAGTCACCTGGTATAGAAGTACCTCAGGAACTGTCTACCATTTTTTAATAATTGTATTTTTTGAGAATTCCATAAGTGCACATCCTAATTGCATCATTTTCCCCCTTCCCATTTCCCTGCCAACTCTTCCCATGTCTTTCCCCTCTCCTTCTCGATTTCTTGTCCTCATCTTTGATTATTATTGTTACATGTACAGCCATACATTTATAAATATACATAGAAAATACACCGAGTCTATTTAGTAGTGCTTGTGTGTATATGTGCTTAGGACTGACCACTTGGGATTAAATAGCTCTTAGGGAGCTAGTTCCTGGAGAAAACTGACTCTCCTTTCCTTGGCATCCACTGATTGCCTGTAGCTCTTCACCTACAAAAGGGACCCGTAGTCATTTCCCTGCTCCACATTGGCCTATCAATTGGTGCTGTCATTATGCAGGCAACCGTATTGTAGAGATTTTATGAGTGTACTTTTCTTGTCGTGTCTCGAATGTACTATCTAGCAGGAGACAGGATATCTCACTGGTCTGGATCTTGTCAAGTAGGCTAGGCTGGCCAGCAATCCCCCAGAAGCCAGCTGCCCTCTTGTCAATGCAGGAATATAAGCACATGTCACTACACTACACTTTTTTTTAAAAATACGGGTACAGGTTTTCTTTTTACATGGGTTCTGAGGTCCTAATCCTTATAACGCAAGCACTTTAATGACTGAGCCATCTCCCCAGTACCTCCATCTTTCCTTAGCTTGGGTTATAAGAGGCCTGCTCACTACTTCTCTGCCTGCAACATTCCCCTCTTAAGTTCTCTTCCCATCAGTTTCTAAAGGAAGCCTTCCCAGGTTCCTGCCTGCTTTAAAAACCTTAGATTTAGCCCTTACTTGTAGAAGCATAGTCACTGTAGACACATGGAAAACAGTGGACTTCCATTGATAGATGAGTGGCTGAATAAACAAAGTGGTTCATCCCCAATCTTAAATTAAAGGATTTTCTAAAATGTACTATATTACTGGTAAACCTTGACAACAGCATGCTGTATGAAACAAACCAGACACAAAACGTGAAAACCATGTGTTCCCACACATATGAGGTTCTAGAGTAGACAGAATCATAGAATGGAAGCAGAAGAGAGCCTCCCAGGGGCTGCAAGGATAAGGAAGTATGGGGCTCATGTGAGGGGTACAGAGAATCTTGGATGATGAAAACAGTTCTGGCGTTGGATAATAATGATGGCCACAAAACATTGGGGATGTGTTTGGTGCCCTAATGAAACTCTTAAAAATGGTTAAAAATTTAAGAGGAGGCAAACAAGTAAACGGATACATACATAAACAAACCCTGGCTAGTTTCCAGGCACACAGGATAAAGCCCAAGGTACGTACCAGCTAGGCTGCTTTGCCTCCACACTGCTGCTCAGCAGCTCTATCCCCACACTGGCACTGTCACCAAAGCTCTGCCTGTGGTTCCTGCCTTCATGGCCTTCAGTCTTTAACTCAGATATTCTCCCTGCAGGACCACCTTCTCCTACACTTGTCAAGGACTTCTCTTTCTGCCACCCCACAATCCTTTTAAATATCTGCCTGAGCATATGTCTCCCCTGCCCCCAGGTCCCATAAGTCTACTGTGAATGTGTTTTATTTATCATGGCACTACAGAAGCTAGCACATTGCCCCTGCTCATACTGGATGCTCAGTACAACTAGAAGCTAATCAGTGATGAACAGCTCCTATAAGGAGAAGCAGGCCATTTCTTCCTTCATAATTATCATAGCAACATCACTGGCTTAGCAGCAGCAGTACCACCACTACCACATTCACCATCAGCATCAACATCACCACCATCACCACCATCATCAGCAGCATCAGCAGCATCTTTACTCAGCAAGCATCTTGACCTATTAAAGTCCTAAGTAGTGAGTTATCTTCTTGGCCTCCATCTACTGACAAGGGCATTGAACTCTAAAGAGGATCCAAGGTACAGAGACACCCAGGCACCTTTCCACATGAGTGGAAAGCAGTAAGTCTTACAACTTCCTGCACCACATGTACCTAGGACAATGACCAGAGCACGATTCACAGCAGTACAGAGGATTAGAGAAGACTAGCAACTGAAGCCAGGTGGCCTCCAAGGGCAGGAGAACACCCGAGGGAGGACTGAACGCAGACATCACTTACCATGAGCAGAGCCCTCCGGAAGAGACGGCGTCTGGCAGCCTTGGTGTTGAGAAGGTGGATTCCGGCCACATCAGCCCCACTGCGGTCTGCTGCCAGTGTCACACGCCGAGGGTCCCCACCAAATTCTCTGATGTGGGTTTGCACCCAGGTTAAAGCTGCCACCTGGTCCAGCAGCCCCCAGTTTCCAGCCACCTCACTGGAGCCTGCGGACAAGAAGAATGTCACTTGCCTGTGTGTTCTTGCAGCTTTGAATTTAACAATCATGGTGCTATGTCAGACATAAGTCTCTGTCAGGGGGGTTTGGGCTCTTCTCACTAACAGGCCAGCACTATGGATTCCAAATATAGATGAGGACATTTGAAAGAGCCTGGGCTTCAGCATCAAATACAACTTGGCTTGCCTTCAACCTCTGGCCTCGGCTAGTCAGGAGATCAGAAACATCTCTCCTTTCTGAAACAGCTTTCCCATCTGCCGGTGGGCGGGCAATGCATAGAACTGGGGCTCTAAGCAAAAGCCTCGTGTTCAGTGCTCCCCAGGGAAAAAGGTGATCCATACCCTCAGGCTCAGACCCTGCTGTAAGTGGCTCTATTAAAGAGTAGCCAGACAGGCCTACCAGTGGATCCCAATCCTTCCTACAGCTTTGTTTTCCATGGCTTTTAAAGTGTACAACTGAATCCACGCCTCTCCTATTTCACACAATTCAGTAACTATTTGTTGAAGACCTAGCACTATTTTTAAAATAAAATATTCACACACAGAAAAAACAAACATGTATGCTTCTCTTTAGCCTTCTGGAACACTATACTTTGGGGGGGGCTGTTTTGTGAGTGCAGTGCAGCCTCCCTCTCAGTCTACCCACACACTCCAAATCCTGATGGAATGCCAGGCCTCACTCTGGTTTCTTCTGAGGGTCTCACGTGTCTTGTTTTTTCTGACTCTGCCCTCAGATCCTATGATGGTTAATACTGTCAGCTAGACACGCTCTAGACTCACCTAGGAGGCAAGCCTCTGATGTGTCTGAGAAGGAGTTTCTAGGTTGGGCTAATTGAGGTGGGAAGACGCACCCTGAATGTGGGAGGCACCATCTATGGACTGGAGTCCTGGACTGAACTAAAAGACTGAAAGTGAGCTGAGCACCAGTGCTCAACACTCTCTGCTTCCTGACTGTGGATGCGATGTGACCAGTTCCCTTGAGCTCTTGCCACCATGCTCTCCCTGCTGTGATGGACTGTACCTTCAAAATGTGATCCCAAATAAACTCTCTCTCCCTTATGTTGCTTTCGTTGGGTGTTTTTGTCACAGTAACAAGTAAGAAATATCGAGGCCTCATCAACTCTGTAGGCCCCATTGTCATCTGCATACAGACATATCCAAGAGCTCAGACTTTGCTCAAGGTCCAGTCCCTCACAGGACATCACAATTGTAGTTATGATAAAGAGGATTTGGTACGGAACAAGAAAGTGTCAGATAGACCCCATGTCTCTAAATAGAACAGAAAAGGGCAGGAAAATCTTGCAGCCTGGCTGTCCAATCCAATATTTGCAAAGCTGAAGAGAACACCAGCTTGGGGTTTATTAATAATACAAATTACTCTTCCAGCTGGGGAGGCTTTCTGAACGTCTTCAAATGCTTTTCATGTTCTGGGTCTGGTGAAGCCATTGGCACAACACTGTCCTCACCGTGGGGTTTTCTGGAATCCTCCCCAGTTCCATTTGTTAAAATCAATGCATTTGTTTTCTCTGAGACTCCAGGAGTCCAGGATATCAGTGTGCTAGCTGAGCAAGACCCAGGCCTGCAAGTCCAGGGGTGACATCTGTGGCCTGCATCACCAGGGACAATCGGAGAGGCAATGTTCCTGACGCTCACTTCCCATGTACCAGTTTCCTCCCAGGGGATTCTGAGTCCTATAGCCTCCTGGGAGGTTGGAGCTGAGGTGGTTTCAATAGGACCTCATCAAACAAAGACAAACTTCAGTTTGTCCAGAGGCAGGCGCTGTGTCAGGCACTGCTGAGAACAGAAAGACAAGATCCGTTCCTAGGGCACAGTTCCCAATGCACATAGTCCTGGCTACACAAACTCCCCACTGCACACATTTCCTGATGCCCACACTTCCCAGTTCCCACACTCCCCAGTGCACACACTTCCCAAAGCACACATTCCCTAGTGCACATACCTCCAAATACACACACTGCCCAGGACACACTTTTCCCAGTACACACACTCCCCAGTGTACACTCCCCAGTCAACTCATACTCTCAGTGCACACACTTCCCAGTGTACACTCCACAGGGCACATACCCTCCAGGGCACACACCTCCCAATGTATGCTTTCTCCATCATACAGGAGGCAGGAGACAAGGTCACTGTGCTGCAAAGGGTCTGGAATCTTTTGAGCATAAGGAATTATTTAGACGCAAGAAGCAAACACGAGCTTGAGTTGGAATGCAACTGCTAATTTACAATCAGAACTCTTTGCCCTAAGATTAAATCCAATTCCACAAATACTTTTTGAAAAGTCTATGATGAGTATTAAAATGTGCAAATGCCAGTTTACAGAACCCTCTGCTCACATAGACCTCGTAGCCCCTCATTGTCACTGTCCCAAGTGTCCTGACCCTTCAGAGCCTCTAGAGCCTGACTCCCTTATCAATCAGCTTCTAGCACTGCCCAGTGCCATTCAGCATATCCACGATGCTCCCTATAGGGTTTGTGGGGCTGACCCAGGGTTGCCTTACCCTCAGGATTCTGCTCCAGACTCACTTTACTCAGACAGGCTAACCCCTATGCATGCGTACACACACACACACACACACACACACACACACACACACACACTCATCCCTGCACAGTCTTGCAGCCCTGCTCAGCCCTAGAAATGAGACACCCAAAAGGGCAGTGACGCAAGTGGGAACTTTCTGGACATGGTGTTGTCATTGTGTTTCATGACTGCCCTGCTCTCCCTGATCTGGCCCCGCCCCTCCAGGCACTCACACCTCTGGTCAGAACCAACCAGGAAACACCCACTTGTTCCTAATTATATAAATGGCTCTCCTCTGCTCATTCAGTTTCTTTACAGACTACAGGGGCTGCCAGCAGGACCCAGTCTTGTCCATGGAGCAGTGGGAGGCAGTGGGACATGGGCTTCGGTGAAATTCTGACTCCTCCACCTACATGGGGGCCTAGGTAGGCTACTCAACACTCATATGCTTTGATTCACCCCATGTATAAAGTGGAAATGGTTGCAGAATCTGCTTCATTGAGTCCTGATGATAACTAAAGTAGTTAACGTTTGTAAAGGCAAGAGAATGTGCGTGGCTGTAAAAGCATCTCAGGTGAGCTTTGTTCCTTAAATAAAATGAAACAGGTTTGGGCCCCAGAAGTATCTCACTGATGCCCCTAGCAGGGCTGGCTTCACATCTTCACAGCATGAAATATCTGCTATGAGGGGTGCTTGTGGGCAGGCTCTGGGTCTATTTTTCTGGTTGGAAAGGACACCAAAGCCTTTTAGAGGCCCCAAGTGGTTGGTAACTGTAAGGTCAGGACAACGTGGCAGCTTGGCTTTTTAATCTAGCTCCTGGATCAGAACACAAATCTTCTGTCCCCATACCCTGTGGAGGTAGGGCGTGTGGGTCCACCCTCTCCTCCTTATCCGAATACTCCAGGGGCCCTGGCTGTGAGCTTTGTCTGAAAAGAGGGCAATGGCTATAAGATCCAGAGTGAGGGAAGTTGCTTTCCCTGGCTCACCTCCAATCCCTCCCTTTCTGGGCTGACCTGTGGAGTTTCAGGGTTTGAGAGACTTAGAAGCTCTGGAATGAGGTTAATAAAGGAAAAGAGACTGCCAACTGACTAAATGACAACAGAAGAGGAGCCCAGATGGACAAGGTGAGCAGAGGTGTTTCTGGACGTTCTAGGAGCAGCTCTGTGCTGTGTTTTCTCTTGCAGCTGTCTGAGCAGAGGAGAACAGAGTTCAAGCCCAGTCTACTGCTGGCTTGAGTGATCAGGCAGCCACTCCATTTCTCTGAGCCTTGCTCTTTCCGCTGGAAAATGGCACAGCAGACAGGCCTCAGAGTTGCCTGAGAACACAGTGAAGGAATCCGGGTGGCCTGTCTGGTGAAGAGAGGTACTGAAGTGTACCACCACCCCTCCTGATGGCAGATTTTCCTTCTAGCAAAATGATTGCAACTCCGAAATGAGAGAGGTGGGCGTTCTGGAAGCTTCTGTCACGTACATCCCACATACATCCTAGCTGCCCATGCCCATACCTCTCCACAATCTCATGAGTACTCAACAATATTTCACTCCCTGAAATCATATCTTCAGTCAACATATGGACAGCCACTCTGCTCTCTAGAGAAGTCATAAGCCAAAGTTAGCTGGTTCTACGAAAAGCTCCCTGGGACCAGTTTCAGTCAGTTGAGCCCTGAACATTACCAGAAAAGCTATGATCCATCCCTCTTCAGAAAAGGCCAAAGAAAGGACAATCTGAGGCCATTGTCGCTGGTCTGTTTCCTAAACAGAAGACCTCTAGAGAAGCAGCCTTGTGCTTAAAAAGAGGACAGAAAACCTGGCAGGAGCTTTGCCTCTTTAAAAATGAAAGTAAGTTCACCCATGAATAAGTCTTTACAGGTCCCCAAATCTTGCATACACCCCCAGGTACTGAATTTACTTTAAAAAACAATTTATTTTTATTTTATGTGTATGAGTGTATTGCCTGCATGTATATAAGTGTATCTGTGTCATGCAATGCCCACAGAAGTCAGAAGAGAGCATCGGATCCCCTCGAACTGGAGTTACAAATGGTTGTTAACTACCATGTGGGTGCTGGGATTTGAACCTTGATCCTCTGCAAGAGCAGCCAGTGCTCTTAACCGCTGAGCCATCTCTCCAGCCCCTGCATTTACTTCTTACCACCACCTGGCATCTCTCAGAGGATGGAAAAGGAAGAAGGAAGAAGCCATTCAGGCCATGGCTCCCTTCTGACCCTCTTGCTCTAAGGGAAACCTAAAGGTGTCTCATTATTAGCATCTCCCAAGCAAACATCAGGCTTAGCATGTTTTGCCCTAACTACCGCATGCTGCATAGGCCAGCCTAGCATCTCCTCAGTGGCTCTCAAGACCTTGCCCTATGAAATCCCTTCTGCCAAGGTCTGCTCATGTTGGGTGCCCACCCTACCCTCCCATATTCTTTCTGGTCTTTCTGCATTCCACCTGTATCTCCATTCTTAGCATATCCTAAGTCTTAAAGCAAAACAGTGACAAGACTCCCCTGTCCTTGAGGGCTTCTAAAACTCTTTCCATGTGTCATCTCCCTTGAGCTGCAGAAGCTGAGTAAAGCTCCAGTTTAGAGGGAGGAATCTAACATTGGGAGAAAGAGGGGGTTTGGTCCAAGGTTGCTAGGCCAATGAGAGGCAGAGCTGGCCTTGGCTTTTCAGATCCCAAGGCCAGTGTACCTTTTCATTCCTCCACTAACCACAGAGGCTCTTTCACGGAGAAGGGTGGAGCTAGAGAAGGGTGGATGGAGGGTGTTTGTGTTGGTCCAGGGCTCTAGTCTGCCTCAGCAGTTGGTAGTGGGAGGTATGCCCAGGGTGACAACAGGTTCACAGTGAGACTAGAAATAAAGGAAGTGTTGGGGGGTGGTCATTGCATTGACTCAGCTCTTGTGCCAAACCAGACAGATTTTGTGTGACAGAAGAATTATGGTCCATCCCTCCTCAGAGCTGGCCTAAGAAAGGCCAATCCTAGTCCATTTAAGCTGCTCTTCTTCCTAACCAGAGGACCTTAAGCAAGTCCCTAACCTCCTTGGGCTTCAGTTCTTTTCATCTAAACACATACAGACTCTCTCTCTCTCTCTCTCTCTCTCTCTCTCTCTCTCTCTCTCTCTCAGATTACATTACATCGTATCATAAAATAAAACATGAGATGTACTGGGACAGCCTCAGACTTACAGAAAGCTCTCAACAAATAACAACAATAATTCCCCCCAAAGGGAGGGAGTGTCAGCATTGCCGGAGGGTCTCCCAAATGTGCTGGAATTCCACTGTGTCTAGCTGGGCTGCGGGAGCAGCAGGTATAGTGATTCTCTGAGGTTTGGAAAAGAACAGGATGAATTTGTAGAGGGAAGAAACCTGGGCTCAGGGGTATGCAGCTCACTGCTCTGGTTTAGATCCAGTGGGTCATCAAAGGCCTGTATGCAAGGATTTGGACCCAGAATGGTGCTACTGCTGGTGGAACTTTGAGAGGTAGGGCCTTGTGGGAGGTCCTTAAGTCCTTAGGAACAGTCTCTCAAAGAGGATTGTAACCCTTTGCCCCCCCCATTGATGCCTGGGCATGAGGAAAGTAGTTATGCTTGCCCACCCCCAGCTGCCATGCTGGGCTACCTCATCATAGGTTCAAAGCAATGAGGACGGTGAGCCATGGAGTAGAGTCTCTAAAACAGTGATCCCAAATGAACACTTCCTCTTTGAAGCAAGTCCTCTCAGGCATCTCTAACAGTGGTGGGAGACTGATCGACTGCCCATAACACTAGAAGCTCACCTGAACTCAGGAAGCCAAAGATTCCCACTCGGTAGTTGGCAGTGACCACAATGAGGTTGCCAACTGCAGCCAGGAAGGAGCCATCAATAGTCAGCAGTCCTCCACTGCCTTCCATCTCCATGGTATTGTGGAAGAACACCAGTACTGATGCATTGGGGGCCTGTGGGGATTGGAGAGATAGAAGAGGTTGAGGCTAAGCTAAGGGGGGCATCTTACCACCTATGAACCTAGACTATGAGTCCACACAAGTCTTCCTCTTCCTGTAAACTGTGTCTTGGAGCATACTTATTCTGTGTAATGGGCTGAATTTTATCCCCCAAATTCATGCACTATAGCCTGATGCCCTAGTGTCTCTGAAAGTGATTGTATTTGGAGACCTCTGGTCCCATATGAACAGTGTCCCTTTAAAGAAGAGGAAATTCAGACACAGGCATATACAGAGGAAAGACCATGCAGACACCACTGAGAGAAGGGACCAAGCACAAGCCAAGCAGACAAGCTGTGGGAGAAACCAGCCTGTGGCACTTTGATCTTGAACTTTAAGCCTAGGACTGTGAGAAAAGCAAGCGTACATGGCTCAAGCTGCCCCACCTGTAGAAGTCTGTGACAGCAGCCCTAATAAGCTACTGTACTCTATTTCACAGGTAGGAGAATGGAGGCTCCTACCTGCCAATAATGTAGAGTGAGCAGAGGTTAAGAACATGGCTCAAGGCAGTCCTGGAGCCCCATAGCCTCCCAGAACCTGGTCTGATTATGGACTATTCCAGAGGGTTTCTGGGTCCTCCATGACGACACAGAGACAGGCCCCAAATCTCAGGCCTGCTCTCTCTTCTATCATAATCTGAGCCTTTTCCCTCAGTGACACTGTATCACAGGGTCCCCTCTGGACAGACTATGGATTCTCTAAGGAGGCCTTTCTAAACTTCAGAGATGTAGCCATCTGAGTCACACTCAGGAGCTGTAGGACAGGTCAGGGTAGACCCTGGGTCCTCCTAAAGCCTCCAAGTGGCTATACTGGTGACAGGCCAGCAGGGGATGAGCTGATTGGCAGTCATCAGCCACTATTAATAACACAGGGGTTCTGTTCAGCCTCTGTGACTGCTGCAATCAGAAGTACACACAGAAAGGACCCTCTTCTATAGGACATGTCAATTGGGTACCCAGACTGTATCCACCCTGCTGTGGTCAACGCCTGTTCCCAAAGGCCAGAATGAAGTCCAAAGAACATCCCAAGACAAATAGCCAGGTACCAGGGACCTCCCTAAGGAGAGGAAGCCCTGGACTCAGAGTCAATAAATGGGGCTCTGGTGTGGTGGTACATGCCTTTAATCTCAGCACTCAGGAAGCAGAGGCAGGCAGATCTCTAAGAGTTCAAGGCCAGCCTGGTTTATATAGTGAATGCCAGGTCAGCCAGGGCTGCATAGTGAGGCCCTGTCTCAATAACAACAACAAAAAAAAAAAGAAAAGAAAAAAGAAAAGAAAAAAGAAAAGAAACAGGGCTCTTTCTCTGTCTGGTGGTTTGATTTAAGTGCCCTTACAACAGCCAGCTCCTGTTAGCCTCAAGATGGGGGATCCCTGGGGCTGGAGAGACAACCCAACAGTTACTATCACTAGCTACTCTTGCAGAGAACCCAAGTTCCAGTCCCCAAAACCCACATGGTGGCTAACAACTGTCTGTAACTCCAGTTCCAGGGGAATCGGGCCCTCTTCTGATCTCTGCAGGCATGGCAGGACGTGGATACATTTATACACATGCAGGCAATGTATACACTCATACACATAAAATCAAAATAAGGAGTAAAATTTGTTTTAAGAGCTGGGGGATCCCAAGGGGGGGATCCAGCTGTATTTCCTCTGCGCGTCGATCTATCTACCTCCTAGAGTGACCATGAAGGCAGATGAGGTCACGCCTGTAAAAGGCTCTGTAAGCTGTAAATCACTGCCACACATTTCCTGCTGAGATGACAGTGAAAGTGACCTTGGCTGGGTACCACTCTGGTGCTGGCCATGAGCACCATGAGCTTAGTAGTCAGGCAAGTCACCTAGACTGAGCTCCTGGCCTTCTCACCTATGAGAAAACAAGGCCTCTGAGAGGTGTGGGAGGCCTGCAGTCACCCAGAACGGAGGCACAGGCCTCCTGAGAGGCAACTGTCTCCCCTGCTCTCCCTAGTTCCATCCCATCAGTATCTGTGGCTAGGTGGCTCTTATGCCCCCTATGGTACCTCTTCACTGGTAGGCTGAGTGGCTCGTTCTGTCAGCTGTGGTCTCTATCTTGCTTACTATGTTACTCTGTCAACCCAGCGCCATCTCCATTCCCAAGGTCACTGTGATGAGCCATTCCCATGTGGAGGCACGCTGGTGGACTCGAGACCAGGCATTCATCTGCACAGAGTTCATTTAATCCTCACAAAAGCTTTGAGAGCAGATGCTATGCTAATTTTCCCTCTCAGAGTTGCTACCTTGAGCCCATAGAACCTGAGTCGCCTTCTCAAGGACCCTGAAGGAGTGGGAGCTGGAAGGGCTGCATGGCAGTTATATGGTGTGATCAGCTCTATGCAGAAAGAAACCCTATCACCTCCCTCATTCAAGCCTCCATACTTCTTTAAGGCAGCATTGGGAGCTTTTCTGGCCTCCCAAAGCTTGAGATCAGCAGGCTGTGGCTGCTCCAAAAGTGCAATTTATCAACAACACTGCTAGTGAGTCAGATGAGCAGAGGGGCCAGCATGGTCACAGAGCACTCCCTGGGTGCTATCCCCAGACTCATACTAAAGCTCCTGCTTCCTTTTCCCTCTCATGGGCTCTGACCCTCCTTCTGAAATAGGAAACTCAGGCCTAGGACATTGACTTCTTAGGCAGATACAGGAAGAACTGGGTTCAGGGTCACAGTCTAATGCCTCCTCATGCCTCTCACAAGAGCCTTCCTGGAAAGCTCTGAAGTCATTTGCTCATTCTCAACCCCTCCAGAGGAAGTCCAGTGCCCCCAAGGGTAGTGCTGTAGAAGCACAGGCTTCGTGGAGCCCATGGCAGGTGGGAGACCGGGGCTGTGGCAGTGAGGACCACCCGGGATTGCTAACAGGAGAGCTTTCCCAGACACATAGCAGGTGCTTCTGAACTCACCAGGTCCTCAGGGACAAACACGTTGAGATACAAGCAGTCTTCACTGATTTGGGGAGGCGTGGGTGTGCGGGTGCCTGGCTGCCAGCAGCTGGCTCTGCAGAGACAAGGCATGGAATTTTCAGAGAAACAACAGAAGGATCTGTCTCCCCTCCACATCACCACTCATGGCCACAGTCAAGTCCTAGTACACCACCAACTCCGGGGCAGCAAGACAGTTTGAGGTCACAGGGGTGGCCCAGGAGTAGAAGGAATAGCAGTGTGCCTGTGGCCATCTCTGGCTGTTGGCCTGTGGAGCAACTTGCTGCCCAGAGGGAAAATGCTGACCACAGACCCAGGCTAGAGAAAGAGACTGTGAAGCTGGCAGGATTGTGGTCCCTCCTTGCTACACTATGCAGAATCTGCTCTGGGAAGCGGTGTCTGGCTTGACTTCTGCACCAAAACAGAGAGCTGGGTGTCAGTTTTAGATGAGGTCTCTCCCAGGACCCATCCTAATGGCAGTTCATCTACTCAAGGTCGCTGGCCATATCACCTTAGATTTGCCAGTCCTGGGCTACAGTGACCAAGCTGTCTAGATATTGTCCATTCAAGATCTGGGTGACCAGCTACCTCCTCTGTCTCTTGGGTACATCCTAATATAGGAAAGCACTATAATTAATGCCCTTAGGTTTTTGTTTTTTTTTTCCTTTGGTTTCCTAGTGGTGTGGCAGACTTAACTTAGAGCTCCCTCTTGTCTGCCTTTGCCACAGTTCTAGGGTGGCCCTTGACCTCCTTTCCTGCAGAACTTCAGGATCTTCCTCGTTCATCCTCTATTGCTAGGCCTGGGCACATGCCTGTCAGCCAGCCAGGGCTATAGAGGACACAGAAAACACTGCTCCGCGGACAGAGCCATGGGGCCGGAGGAAGGAATGCAAGTGGCAGGGGCACCCAGTACAAGCTCCTCACAGCACCAAGCTGCTTCCTTTACAGAATGCTTCAATTTCATGTGTCAATATTTAACATGAAAGGTTTGATGAGGAGAAATGACAGAGTATAAGTGATGAGCTCAGAAAAGAAAAAGGAGAAAAATAACTCCTTGTATTATATCTCAGTTGGGGAGGTACCCTCTCAATTTTCTTTTATCATTTATCTTCCCTGTCATGCTGAATTTCCAACCCCAAAGTTAGATGTCCAGCCAGGCATGAAGACACCCATATATGTAGCCCAGTATTTGGGAGGCTGAGATGGGAGAACCTCAAATTCAATGTTAGCTTGACGCTACATAGTGAGATCCTATCTGGGAAAGAGAGATAAAAGGAGAAAGGGGGGAGGGCAGAAAGGGAAGGAAGAGACAAAACAAGGGAAGGAAAAGGAGAAACCACTTTAAAAATTAAGAATCAGATGTCACTGACTTTGGCAAATGCAAAACTAGTGTGACACATGTGGCCACCTCAAGCCTGGCCCAGGTGAACCTCCCTGCAGATTTTCCCATGGCTTCATGTTCCTGGATGCAATTCCCAAGGAGACCTTCGAAGATTAATGCTGGTGAAAGCAGCATCTCCTCAGCCTGGGTTCCTGAGTCACTACATGGAGCAGAGCACACAGCCCCTGTCATCAGACTTCACATGAACAAAGTAGTACTGACCCACAAATACTGGGCCTGTGTGGCAGTCCTAGTGTTACGTATTGAACACATCCCACACTGCTCTAACCAGGATGTTCGGCTGTCTGGACAGATTAGATTAAGAGAGGTGTTCTTTGGGCATTCACCAAAACGGTGTTCGAGCCATACCTTGACTTGGTGGCATCCCAGGAGCCTGTCCAGTTCAAGGGTTCTGGTGCCCGGAAGCGGTTGTCTGCTAAAGGTGGGGCAGCATAGGGAACTCCGAGGAACTGGTACACCTGCTTCCATGAAGTGCCCACCTGGACGATCTGGGACCCACCCTGCAGATGGCCAAGGGGGTCGATGGGCACAGAAGGTGTGGATGTTGCCTCAGAGCAGAACAGAGAGATGCCTGGTTGGAAAGCAAGAGTGGAGAGAGGACCAGGGACAATGAGAGCTGGGTTCTAAAGAGATTTCAGCAAGAGAACATGCTGCATTTGGGGGGGGAGGGGCTTGAAAATGTCAGTGGTTCATTCATACCCATAGTTCAGAAACAATAGCAGAGAGGCTGCTCCATGAGGCACAAAGTATGTGCCAAGGGCATACTGACTGTTCACGAACCATCTTTTGCATTCTTCTGATGCTTCTGAAGGGTGGGCACTACCCCAGTCCCACACCCCATGCCCTACACCTGATGGCGTCACAAAGGGACACCAGGACACAGTGAGTGATAGTCCATTGGCCAGAAGTCTGGAGTAGAGCCTATCATCAAACATGTCAATTATTTTAGAGGTGGACTATCCAGATTATTCATACTAAGAGATGAATAAGGGTAATTCTTCAGTCAGCTCAGAGCAGATTTGAGCCAACAAGTGAGTCTGTCCAAAATTTGTTTTTAAAAAAAGGCTTCTAGAACAGTTAGATTTCAATTATGTAACTACAGATGGATGGAGAAAGAATAAATGGTTGATGGGTAGATGGGTGGGTGAATGAGTGGGAGAAATAAGGAAAGGACAGAGATGGATGCAGGGAGGGAAGAAGATGGACAGACGGATGGATGGATGGATGAGTGGATGGATGGATGGATGGATGAGTGGACAGACGGATGGATGGATAGATGGATGGATGAGTGGATGAGTGGATGGATGGATGGATGGATGGATGAGTGGACGGACGGACGGATAGATGGATGGATGAGTGGATGAGTGGATGGATAAAGGATGAACGGATGGAGGAAGGTAGATGGATGGATGGGTAAGTGGGTGAGTGAGTGGAAGGGCTAAGGAAAGGAATATAGAGAACAATGAAAGGAGAGCAAGAGGGAGTAAGAGAGGAGAGGAGCCAGAAAGAGAAAGACTGAACAAAGCTTCCTCCATTATGAAACTTCTAGAGTGAGATAGAACACCAGAGGGAAACGAGATGGAAAGAGACAGCTTCTAGTTAGGCCTCAGATACAAATCATGACTAAGGGTTCCTGCTACAACTCTAAATCTAAGGGTCTCAGGACTATGGCTACTAAGGTGAGGGAGATTTCTGCTGTGCAGGAAGCAGCCACGTGTCCTAGGTAGCCTTGTCCTAAGGCAGGAGAGAGGGAGAACACAGAAGGTTTGCAGAACTCAGATGGGCTTCAAGCCTACTTTCCACGCATGTCTGCATGGCACTGCCTACAGAGGCTGCTTGCAAGATCAAACCAGGGGAATGTGCAAAATGTATGTCTTTCCCTTTTGAACTCTTCTGAAGACATAGTAGATTCTCCTCAAACACTCATGTGACTACCTTGGCTTGGAAAAATATTCTGTGTCTTCACATGTATGGATGGGCTCACTCTCCTTAGAATGTATACATTCCCACTAAACTTCAGTCCCAGGCAATAGAGAGGTAAGTTACCTAACTTGCTTCTCAAAGTTCAACCTCAACATTAACCACATAGATTAGCCACACCCTTAGTGGAATATACTGGTAAGATCTTGTAGCATGACTCAATAATATCAATGCCCACCCAGGCATGGTGGTACATGCCTTTAATTCCAGCATTTGGGAGGCAGAGGCAGGCACATCTCTGTGAGTTCAAGGCCAGCCTGGTCTCCATAGCAAATCCAGGCCAGTGGTAGCTACAAGGAGACCCTGTCTCAAAAAGACCAAATAATAGTAATAATAATATCAATGTCCAGATGGAAGACAAGACCCTGGCATGCATATGGGACTGAAGGAAAGACTGTCAATGCTGGGAGGGTGGAGCATCCCAATCACTCCTGATTTTGTCAGTGGGGCATCCCAATCACTCCCGATTTTGTCAATGAAATTTTAGAGAACACAGTCCTATCATTATTTTGACATATCTTACCTCTTTTTATCTACAATAGCAGTTAAATAATTGTAATATACATATATAGTTGTAGAACCTATACTATTTCTCAATGTCCGTTTAGAGAGAAAATATGTGGCCTCTGCTCTAGGAGACAAAATGGAAGTTGCATCTACTTCAATATCCATTCACTTCTTCCAAGAAGTATGTCTGGCAGGGCAGGGCTTCTCCACAGTCCCTAGTTCATGTCTCAGCACACAGCTCTTTTTTAAAAAATTTTATTTTATGTGTATGACTGTACCTTCTGCATGTATGTAAGTGTACCCTTGTTGGGCAATGCCCATGGAGGCCAGAAGAGGGTGTCAGATTCTCTGGAACTGGAGTTAAGGATGGCTGTTAGCCACCATGTGGGGTCTAGGAATCAAACCAGGGTCTTCTGCAAGAACAGTCAGTGCTCTTAACCACTGAGCCATCTCTCCAGCTCCAGCATACAGCTCTTTACTGGTTTCCTCGTGATGGATTTATATGCATCTCTCCCCTTGACTGCCTCAGAATGTTTGCCACACACTATGAGTGATCTCTGAATTATTTATCTATTTATGTATTCATTCACTCATTTATTTGAAGTGCTAAGGGTGGAACCTAAGGTCTCACGCATGCTAGGCATGCACCCCGCCACTAAGCTACAGTCCCTGTCCTGAATGTTTTTTTAAATTCAAGCTGAGAACAGCTTCCCTCTGAGCATTTATCATCTGCTTGTTAGGTAGTATGGTTCTGTAGCAGAGGGTGACACTGGAGGATAGGACATCTGGCTCCAGGTTCCCCCTTTGCCATCACCAACTGTGTGAAATCAGAGAAGCAACTTAGCTTTTCTGTGCTACAGTCTCCTGATCTCCAACATGGAGGGAAAGTGTCAGGCCTGCTACCATGCAGGGTTAGTGGGAACCAAATAAGATAAGATATGGGTAAGAAATTTCTAAACATACATTAATAAAAAGTGACCTATTTAATCATTCTGTTATGAAATTCCAAGGACAAAATGGTTTTTGAAATCCAGGGGACTAAACCTAGCCAGGGAAAACTTTGGCCAAGTCTCCCTTAAGCAATTCAAAGAACAAACGTGATACAGAAATGATTTTTTTCAGCTTTCCCTCCATCTATCCAGGGGACTAAACCTAGCCAGGGAAAACTTTGGCCAAGTCTCCCTTAAGAGTCCCTCCAAGTCACCAAGCAAACATCCTTCCCTGACAGCCTCAGGTCCTCAGGGATGACTACAGAGACCTACTCCAAGGCTCACCAGGCTTCCGGTAGATGTACGTAGCCTCTTCACGGAGCAAAAGCTGGCAGGTCTGGCTCTGTAGACTATGTGTGCAGCTCTGGGTGTCAGGGTAGAACACACACCTCACAACTCCAGGCTGGGTCTTCAGCGTGGTGACAAGACAGGCATGGTGACGGGAACATTCTGCAGAAGAGAGAAGGAAAATAGGCTTAGGCTCAGAGCTATTACCGTATTCAAGCAACCACATATGGCTGCATGCATCCATCCATCCATTCACCCATCCATCCAGGTACCCATTCTTCCATGCACCCACCCATGCACTCAGCCATCCATGCATTTAATCATCCATCCTTTCCACTCATCCACACAGTAATCCATCCATCCATCCATCCTTCCATTCAATCACACCTCCATCAATGTGCCCATCCCTCCATCTATTAATCTACTTACCTATCCATCCAACTATCCATCATGGAATGACTTGTTCATTTGATCATTTGCTATAAATTTTCACTATGAATTTTCTCAGCACTGTGCCAGGACTGAGAATAAATGGCTGTGGTGGTAATCCAAACATCAATATATTTTCCACAACACAGTCAGGGATTTCTGTTGGTTCTTTACCTCTCATAAACAACTCCTTGTCATTACCTTGTGTAAAGGCATTTCCATAATTCTCCAACACAGCTATGCTCCAGCCCCTGCCACACTCCTCAGCTCTGTCAATTCTAGCTCTCTTTAACATCTCCCTAACCTGTGACATCCTCAGCAGGCTCCATTCAGGACTATGTCCTTTTCTGTGCAAGTCATGAGCTACTTATATAGCCTTTACCTACTTCATGGCATTTGGTACTAGGAAGAGCTCTGAAAATGGGGCAGCTTCATTGAACTGGGTGAGTTGTGTGTGGCCTAAGTACCCTTAGTCATAGCCTGGTCTCTGAAGGGCACTGCCCAGGGTTGGGTAGTGTTCAACTTGGGAATCCACATGTAGCAGTCTAATCCTCAGGAGAGGAGCAGCATTTGTGGATCTTAAAGGGGATGAGAATCTGGGAGTATAAATGGCAACTGAGCTCAGTCACTGTTTAGAAGGGAACATTCTGATCACATAATCACCTAGCTGTTTTTAGAATATTATCAATGCTCAGAAACTCTCTAAAGAAATGTGCATCTGGGGATAACTACGCCAATTAGAAAGTTCTTCAAAGGTCAATGCCATTGGATCATCTTTTACAATTTGATGTTTGCACACGGGTCCATGTGTCTCTTCCCTTTGACAATAACCCCACTTCTCTTTACTTATCTTCCCCCATGCTGGCTCAAGGCCTTCATTAGCTATCTGGATATTCTTCCTTAATGACCCTGACTGTGGGCTGCCTAGTGGGGAGACCCTTGGGACCTCCTCTCTGTTAGTTGCTTCCTGCCAGGTGCCCCCAGGCCATCTTGGAATCTCCTATCTGTCTTGATTGGTGCTCAGGGCAGCACTTGGCTAAGGCCCTGCCCTGCCCTCCCAGGGAGACTCCCTTACCCCATAAGCAGAAGTCCCAGGCCACAGAGAAGCTTTTGGTGGCTGTAGTGCTGATGTGGGCAACATCAAAGTCCCTGATGGATGGATCCACAACCACTGAAGAGAGGGGCAGGGTCTGCCACGAGTCCAGGGTAACTAGAAGACAAATCAAGGTACAGTTGCATGCAGTTATCCCCAGTTACAGAAGAGGACAGTCCCTAAAAGTTACCCATCAAGTGCCTCTATGCCTTTATCTGCCTCTCTATGACTACTTAAGCTTTTCTGTGAGATAAGCTCTATGCTCAAGTCTAGGGGTCTGAAGGTTAAAAATTAGATAAGCAAGTAAAGGCAAGTCTGTGTCTATGAAGAAAGATAAGGGATGAGGGAGCAGGTGGCAAGGAAACTTGGAGACAGTGACACAATGTGGGGGTCAGAGCACTGCAAGGGGATGGCCATGAGGATACAGTGTAGGTGTATCACATGGCCCTGGGCTCAAAGCTCCACAACACTCCACCCATTCATCCTTCTGAGCCTGTTCCTCTCTGTAGGGACACTGGTGGCCCACCTGGGACCCTGTAGAAGCGAGGCTCTCATGTCCCTCTCCTGGGAAACTAGTCTCTGGTGCCTCCCAACTGACTCTTCATTAATGTCTCTTGGCCTAAGAGAGCTGACTCTTTCCCCAGAGACAGCCTTCATCCAGAAGGAAATCCATTCAGGCAGACCCAGGCCCTGCTCTGATTCAATATGGGTCAGTCCAGCTACTGCGCCCTGAGGAATGGGCAGGGCCATTATGTGACTTGCTGCCCTGAGCATCTTCTGCCCAGTGCTGTGCAGTCCTTCCCTTGCTCCCTATAGTACTGATCCCAATAATATTCTATATGCAAACACGTCCACAGCATTTTGTGTGTAACACTGACCTCATGCAAGGCTCTGTCTAACAGTCTGTTTCCTGGACTCAGCTAAGACATAAAGAAAATGGGTTCAGAGATGCTGAATGCCTCACTAGTGCCAAGAGTGACTAGGTCTTCACAAGTACAGAGCCTGTGTTCTCCCGCTTCTGATCCCTCCTGCTTCCAAGTCCTGAACATAGCATGTGGTACAACAGGGACAAAGAGCTAGCAGCCAGAGAGAAGGCTCTGGCAGGGGTGAACAGGCCAGACGAGGTCTGTTTGAGGACAGAGGTAGCCTGAGCAGTGGAATGAGGGTGCCTCTCTGAGGAAGGACTGTACCTCTAGGTCAGCATCCACAAATAACTTTAAAGAGGCCAGAGGCTACCCTGCCCTGACAGGGGATTCATGAGCATCCAAGGCCGCTGACTCTAGAAAAGCCCAGAGAGGCCCAGCAGGGGCAGCACAGGATGGTTTCTTTCCTCTTTGCATCATCTCTCCTTGCTTCTGAAGAGCACAAAGTATGTGAGGGCATTGACCTTGGGCTAGCAGAACCCTCTGATAGTCTCAAGTGTCACACTTCATAGTTTATAACATGCCCACTTTATCAGATTTGATTCCCAGCTCCCCAAATGTGGCATGGGATAGGTGTAAAGGCAAACAAATTTACCAAGAACAAGAAGCTGGAAAGTAACCAAGCCAGAACAGAACGAGGCCTCTAAGGTCCCTGTCTCTAAGTTTCCTTTCCAGAACACTGTCTCCAGGTGTGGGAGGGTCTTTGCTTTTGATAGCACAGCACTCTGAGCTATATGGGGAACCTGTAATTTCTATCTTCAACCTGTCTTTAACACCAGCACTGGTGGGTGGGGTGTCACTAAGGTTAGTATGGTAAATAAAACTATTAGACTGCCTCACCTCAGGCCCTCGTAGGGGCTCCTGTGTAATAGAATTCTGCAGACTGGGCACCTTAAACAGCAATGTGAATTTCTCCTGGTTCTGTGCACTGAAAGTTTATAATCTAGGTGTCAGCGAGGTTGGGTTCTTGGTCCTTCTTCCAGGTTTATGGATGTCTGTTTTCTCATCATATCCTCACATGGTGAAACAGAGGGGTAAGAAAGCCCCCTCCTGTCCCTCCTCCAATACCATTAAGGGCTCCATTGTCAAATCCAGTCCAATTCAGTCATCTTCCAAGGCCCCAGCTCCTAAGGCCATCCCATTGAGGGACATGAACTAACAAAGGAATGTAGGGAGTGTCACAGTCTTTAAAAATGCCTCTACTATTTTGTTTCTCTTTAGATTAAAAAAAATAAATAAAGCGAAGATTCACCCAAAGACGTTGCTAAATAATATAGCCAAGGAGGGGAAGGGGAAGGCCCATGGCCTGTCCCACAGACAGAGGAATGAGGACCCAGGTCCTGGGCTTGGCCCTGGCCAGAGTGCCTCATTTTCTTAAGCCTTCTCCACATACTGTTGTTTTCACAGGCAGCTCAAGTAGAAACTTTGCAACGTGGTCACTCTGAGCTACATGTTCTTAGAATGCTACAATTTCAGAAAAAAAGTGATCATGGGTCTCAGGACCACAGTAGCTAATTATGGTCCCAAAATGGAAGCCTTGACCACACTCCATGTTTAGGTTGCTGTCTCTGTAATTAAAGAGTACATTTCATCTCCAAATGAGAGGCATGCCCTGTGTCATATCCCAGGATCTGGTGCCAAGTTCCGGCCATGTTCCCACCTGCTGTCCACAAAGTCAGCATCTGGGGCCCACAGGTTCCTCACAGTCTTTCTGAGAACAAGGTCTTTGAGGGCACAGAAGCATGCTGAAACAGGAAGGCTGGGCATCCTGGTGACTTCATGCCCATTTACAATTGGCCAGGAATGAGTAACAATGGTGCATTTGATAGTCAAACAACAAGGGGCCACAATCATTTGCTGAACCCTTTGGTCTGGGCAGCACTAGTTTAGCCAATCAGGTGGTGCTACTAGCTTGGGTGAAGTCTTGCCCCCACCATCAGACCCAGGGTCTCTGCCATAGGCACCTCCTCTCCAGATGAACAGAGCAGCAGCCCTTCAAAGCTTGTCCAGCGGGAGGCCTTCTGAACAGCAAATGGTGTTTATTGATTCTCCTTCATTTGTTCTTCCTTCCTTTTAGCTAGCTTATTGAGTATGATACCAGAGTCATCTATGACAAAATACACTCTCCATGAAGTTGCGATGTGTATTAAATGTGGTGCATCCGCAGCTCTGCTGTGGTGGGCCCCTCTTTGTCAAGGAAATCTTGGTTAAGGCTGACTGTTTCTCACCACTTAAACCAAAAGCCATCTTGTTACAGATTTTACCATCTGTTCATAACAGTCTGTCTGTATTACTGTTTCCTAAAATGTTTTCTTGGCTATTTATTTTGGATTAAATTTGAAAATTCCCTGTCAATTTTCAAGAATGCTCCTTTGGGTGATCATGTGGAATGATCTTAAAATTTAACATTCATTTTTTAAATGTGAATTTTATGATGCTTACTATCTGATGTTGATAAAAGTGTAATGGCTTTTTAACAGTATGCTTTCAAAATGACCATTGTTGGTACCAAGGGAAGCTATCTACGTGTCTCTGTTCTGTCTCACCACAGGCCTGAAGCCAACAGGGTCAAGCAACCATGAACTAAACCTCTAAAACAGTGACCCAAAATCAGTCCTTCCTCCTACAGGCTGACTTTCACAGGTATTTTGTCCCATTGAATGAAAGCTGACCAGCAGACCTTCCTGTCACAGACCTGGAAGTCAAAAGTGCAGCCTGGAAAATAGGCTAATAAGCCCCCAAGGGAGAGGGAGGCCTCCTTGCCCTTTCTTCTTCCTGCTCTTGAACAGTCTGCCTTCTAGCCAGTCTGGGGACCGTCCCTCCACAGACTCAAGGTGCCTCCTTGCTGCCACTCTTAGCTGGCTGTGGTCGTTCTCACACTGCAGCCTCTGCAACTGCCACGTGATCTAAATCTGATTACAGTGCTCCACATGAGGAAGCAGGCAGTCCTGTGGATGGCAAGGCCGGCCCCCTGAGGTTTGCAGCTACATGGGCCTCTACAGGGTGGGCCTCTACAAGACAGACGCAGTCGTCCACTCTCACCTGCTTATCCCGCAAGTCATAGGAACAAGTAGAAGCCTACAGGATTTGCTGCAAAACTTAAGAACCGTCTAACTCACATCAATCCTCCTCACAATGGGGGAGCACTGAGACCTGGAAAGGAAGGTCATAGAGCATTCCAAGATTATAGAGGCACTGCTCTAGGTCAGTGGAGTGGAGCCCAATGTTAGGGATCTTTTGGTTCTGCATTACTGTGATCTGGGGCCTCCTCCATGAGCTTGTAACAAGCAGGCAAGGCTCCCACCTCTCAGTCTCAGCTTGACCCGAACTATGTCCACACTCAGGGATCGAGCCTGCTGCTGTCACATCATGAAGACAAATAGAGTGTGAAACCCTTGATATAAGGCCCTAAGACTTTGGGGGAGGATAAACTGCTAGAGATGAGGGCTCTGGCCTGGTCATCCACAGAAGGGAAGTAGTGGCCAGAAGGGAAGGGTGATCCCCAGGGCCACATGGCTTTTCCCTCCTGAGACCAAGCAGATCAGAAAGAGGCATCACTACTGCCAGGCACTGGGTGCTTGAGGATCCGTATAAAGGTTATCTGATTTCACCTTATGACACTCTGCTGAGATGAACAATATTCCTATTTCACAGAAGAGGAAACAGAGGCTTAGAGAGGGCCACAAGCCTGCCCAAGACCAGATTGACATGAATACAGAAAGCCTGTATTTGCATCCAGGACGGCCTGCAGCATGATGCCTCTCTGCAAAAAACCAAGTCCTTAAGGAGGCAGAACAGAAGGAATTATGGGTACAAGTGGGGTCTGCTAGGACTCTCTAGGCAGGAGAGGCCTGACACCTGCACGGAGGCTTAGAGAGGGCCACAAGCCTGCCCAAGACCAGATCGACATGAATACAGAAAGCCTGTATTTGCATCCAGGACAGCCTGCAGCATGATGCCTCTCTGCAAAAAACCAAGTCCTTAAGGAGGCAGAACAGAAGGAATTATGGGTACAAGTGGGGTCTGCTAGGACTCTCTAGGCAGGAGAGGCCTGACACCTGCACGGACAGCCCAGTGTGGATGAGGTGCTTGTGTACCTTTCCAAAGTAGCTTTATAAAAATACATATATTTATTTTTATTCAGGTGTATAACTGTACATGTCTGCCATGTGTGTACAGGTGCCTGTGGGGGCA